CTAATCCCCCAACCAGAATGAACAGGAACAAATGAAGGCATCTGACCCTGCAAAAAAGGAAATGTTGCATTTGAAGGCACAGGAGCCCCCACCTACAAATAAAAATACCCTTAATGAGATTTTGTCTATTCACATTGGATGAGGTGGAACATCAACTGCATTTTATTATAGAAGAATGGTCACAAATTAGTCAGTAGGGGTGGAGATAGGAGGTGAATAGAGTAAACACTGAAAGGCAATGTTTTGCAAATGATGTCTTCTGGGTATTCTGGGAAAAGTGAGTAAGCATTCAGAGAATGTGGCTGATGTGGAAGCACCTGGTATGTGCCTCTCCAGACAGCAATTATTTGGTAACATTGGGGACTCACTGCAGATCAACCAAGAAAGCAGAATGTTGTGTGGGCACTCAGAATACCATCCTATAATATAATTCTTAGAGGAAGTTTATATATTAGTGACAGTGGGCAGTATTCTCCCAATGAGTCCCATCAACGCAAATATTTAGGCTTTCACAATTAGACTTCCACCCATCCTCCCCCGGCAGGAACCCCACACCATTCCTCAAATCTGTTCCCAAGGGTTGGAGGAATCCCTACAACAGATTTCATGGAGAAGAGGGGAGATGTTCTGTTGTGGAAGCTGTGTTGAATTTTGTCCAGGAACAGCTAGTGGCACCTGCCTTTCCAAGTTTTTCAACTATTGAAAATTCAGTGTAGTCATGGGAAACTTGGCAAGTAGCTTTACTGAAATAAGATTTCTCAGTCTTTGTTTAAGTCTCAGAACTTCATGGAAGATAATGCATAATTCAAAATAGTCCTCAGTGAATTAAGATAGTAGGCAGCATACCTGTACTGTGTGGAGGTGAGTTCAATAAATGCAGAGGAGCTAGCAAGAATGTCTCATTGTCCCTCAAACATTAAATTTGGTGAATGGATAATATTGGTAAAAGAGTGGGGACCTATGAGCAATTTCATGGGGTAGAGGGGAGAAGGAAGAATCTACTTTGCCTCTCACACGTTTCATGAAATTTATATTTTGGCAATCACCCAGTGGTATAATGAAATGGCATTTAAACTAACGGGTCAAGATAGTTTGTTAATTGTAAATCTCATTTGGTAAGTCAAAGTTGTTAATTGAGCTGAGAATACTGCTTGATACAGCAGGGTTCTCTATATTAATAGAGGACCTGAATAATGTAGAAGTCAAAGAAAGAACAATTTTGTGTGTCACTTTGAGCTTTTGCTTTGAAATTGCTACAATCCTTAGATTCTGTAAGATCTGAAATGTTGATACGAGATCCATTTTTTTTAAAAAAAGACACCACTATATAAGCAAGGGATTAATTTATTACTGGTCAAAGGAATTTTTTCTCTTTTTTTGAAGTGAGAAAGATGTGAGAATATTGCTGAACTCTCTATTTATAGCTGTAGTGGAGCTAAAAAGCCTTGGGTTCTTAAGTAAGAGACATACTTCTAAATATAACAACCCTCTCCGTTGTGAATTTATGTCATTTTCCAATGGCAGGAGAGCAACAGAAGTTGTCTATTCCAAGCAGGTTGATAACTTTTTGATTTAGGATGGGTCAAAAAGACTGTTGTTCTGATCTCTGTACTAGCAGGACTCCATGTTGAATGTCTTAATGTGTATTTGGTGCTTACAACATGTTGGGAACACCTTAGCATACAGACCTGATCTAGTCCCTGCCAAGAAGACTTTACAGGGACCACATAGGGAAGGAGTAGTTTTGCATGTATCAGTAGAAGCAGAAGCAAGGCATGGCTAGGTTAAAGAAGAGGGTCTGGAGGATGAAATCAAAGGACAGGGAGACACCCAGCTGAGTACCAGGAAGAGCTTGATGCAAATATGACAGAAAGTGTGTAGGTAGGAGAGAGAGGCAAAGGGAAGTAATAGGAAATGAACATGTGCAGAAATGGTCTCCTATAAACGCTAACAGGATGTGCATCACCATCTTCCCTCTGGTGGCAGAGCATGATCTCAACTATGGGGAAGATGCTGGCTGAAGACCACATATGTTTGCAGTTCACAGCGTTCTCTTACGATGTGCCATTTGTGTATCTCCGAAAAACCTTAATGTCATTGGAACAGAGGAAACTGCCTTATACCAATTCAATCCATTGGCCTGCCTTTTTATTAACACTGACTGGCAATGGATCTCCAGGGTTTCACATTCTCAGTCCGAACTGGAGATGCTGGCGATCAGCAGTGTAGCGTGGGTTGCTGGCACCCAGGGCAGGCCAAGTGTTACGCCTCCCTGGTGGACTGGGCAGTTGGTATGGGGGCACGAACAAGGGGGCCATGCACAGAGCCTGCATGTAGGGTGAATGGAGCCCGCCTCCCCCTTGCAACCCCAGACCCCTAAACCTGCTCCAGAAGTATGTCTTTAAAAGTTAGATATTACATTATTCCAGTTATTGAACTACACACTGGAACAGTTTCATGCACCACTATTGTTACCCTCTTTTTAAACCAGGAAATGTAAGAAGGATGTGTACTGATTTTTGGATACTCCTGAATAAATTATTGGCATCTGGGGGTGGGGTGGGAATGTGGTTTCGATTTTTTTAACTGAGCTTCAAATTTTTTATCATTAAGATTTATTTTATTATTACAGGACTGTAGTGTCATTAAGTGTACAAAGGCTTGGCAGTTATAGCAGAAACATATCTTTTTAGTGATGCTATGAGTATGTTCAGTAATGTACAATTCAAGCTGGGGGTGTATAACCATCATTTTCACTGGACAGCTGTAATGACTTGTAACCTTGTCAGAAATTCCTGCTATCCTAGATTTCTTAGTGACAGGTGTGATTGGCAGATGATCATGTGAACACGGCATGAATGCATCACCTGCATCCCTCCCATCCTCCACAGAAAAAGTACGTAAGGCCAAACTACACATAATTGATTGCTTAATAGTACTGTACTACTTCAGATTGCTTGTGGGGAGGTTGCACTGCTATGTGTAAAAGAACAAAAAACAACAGCAACAACCTCTCTGCACAGAGTGAAGTCCTATATATTGAAAAAGCACAGCTTGGAAACACTGATTCTGAAATTCTAACTTTCCACAAGCAGGGACTTTTTGATGGGGTACCACCTTTAGCCATGTGATCTCCTTCCTGCATTCTTAAATGGCAGGTTTTCTGTAAGTACAATTACCTTAAAAATGCAGAAAAGGATATAAAAGCTGATCAGTGTCCCAGTTTTCAAAAAATTCAGTGCATGATCTGTCTAACAATGATGGCTCATTTTGCCAAAGTTCTAGAGCGGGGTTGGAAAGCCTATATCCCTGTCGCTGGTCAGGCTGATGGGAGTCTGGAGGGGCAAAGATTCCCCACCTGTGTTCTAGGGAGTGCTGATGCAGAGCAAGGAAGAACTCTTTTATGTGAGCAGATTGGTCTTTATTGCTGAACCAAATTGAGCAGCTCAGAACTGCACAGAGCAGAATCGGTACATTGGAGCCTTTAAATATTTTCTGGAGCTATCAGATCCGGGCATCATGTATTCACATACATGATTCAGTTTTTTTATATGGATATATACAAAGTTAGACTTGTTCATTGTTTTATAGTTGAATGAAAATCATGATGTTTGATCCATGGATGCTAGTTTTGCTAGGAATTATTCTGGGAGGAGCGGGGGAATCCTTTCTTTGTGTGTGTGTGTGGAAAAGGACCTCTTGCAACTCCCCCTCCCCTGCCAACTGTCCAAATATGAAACAGCTGCCTAGCTGCCTTACCAAGAAGATTTTATTGTTAAAATAAAAGTAGATTTTGCTTTTGGGGGGAAAAAAGAACACACATCTTCATTGTAAAACTCATGTTTGGTTTACAATTAGAGAAAAGTCACATGGTCCCAAAAAACCCGAGTTTATATATACTGTATATATATATATATTGAAAATATATTTAAAAAACATAAAAATCTATATTTAAACATATATTATATGTTAATCAGTACACTTAAATATAGCTTAATTTTATTTACAATGTGACGCAGATGCTTGTAAGATTAATGCCAGATTCATTTTTTTCCAAAAATCCCATAAAATTATATAAATATACAATAAATATTTGTTACACATGGTGAATAAGAGAGAACAAGGCCACAGACATTAACTTACATTTGCAAGAGGTTTTTTTTTTTTAACAAAACAATAGGGCCAAAGACATGCATGAAATACTTTTGCCACAGACAGATCACAGCAAAAAAATAAAAAATAAAAAAAAAATCAATTGAGTGACATTTTTGAAACCCCAGTTCAACTAAAACTGCCAAGCCTGTGATCATGTATTTATTTTGTTGTAGGAGGTCTGGCATAGAATGGGTGTTAAGAATAGTGCTTGTTTCAGTTTACAAAAGCTAGGGCTATATTGATTCGTTGCATAGCAGATTCTGCATCCAAATAATGATTTGTAGTTGTTTGTGTGTTTACAGTGTACTGTACAACTGTTAATAAAAATTTAGTATTCCTAGATATACGAATTACATTCTCATGTAGCTTTCAATCTGTGATACTCAAACTTGTGATTCCACAGTAAGCCCATGGAATTGAGTAGATCTGCTATAGTGGTTGGAGACAGTGAGCCTTAAATTGTCCTGTTTGAAGGCTGCAATCTTTTGGATTTGTATCAGTCATTGTCCACTAACGGAATAGGATTCTCCAGTTTATTAGGAATAGGACTGGCTAAATCTGATTTTATTTAATTTTTAATCCTATGTTATACGATGCCCAACAGGGATAAAGTTATTATAAAGCTGATTCACTCTGGATATGTACAAAAACATTTCTATGTTCTGTTCTGCTGGTGGATTATATTACAGCAAAAATCATTTTCTTTCCTTGTGAGTTAAAAAATAGCCAGAGACCAATATTATGCATCCAGATATAAGATCACATCTATTCCAAGAGTCTTTTATATAGGCTAAATTAGTATAGTATATCTGATATGCAATAGTTACCTTATTTTCAGATTTTCCCTTTGTTTAAATTGTGAACTGCATGACTCTAAATAATGATCCACTGCAATTTTTTAGTGGGAATTTAGGTGACAGGCTTTAGTTAGGACTGAGTGAGGATGTTGACCTAGTTATATACACAGTGGGGCTGGAAGGGAATTCATTTATATCAGCGGAAATGGTTTGAGAACAAGTCTGCACACTGTTTCACTACATAAAGTTAGGAACAGCCATAAAGCAGGGAACTAGCCTAATGGATCTGAAGGAAATCAGGATCATGATATTTTCTCATTGCATAAGAAAACATCACCGAGGGATGACAATGATTCCCCTCCATTTCCACTTTCAAAAGTGTGAACAAAAGCAGCTTCTTGCTTATAACACAATCTTACAAAGACTTTCCATTCCAAATGCGTGGATTAATGTAACCCAGATATTTTCCCTGCCTTTAAGATATATGTCTTATATTAAATGTCTACTAGGATTTTGTGGTGAAGATAGCCTGGGATGCAGGTTAAAGCTAAATAAAGGGATTGCCATTGGGCTGAAAGGCTGATTTAGCTCCAGTTGGATTGCCTATTAAAAATGGACAATGACAGCATCTGCTTTCCTTTAAGGTAACAACCATTTATTTGCCCAGCCTTGAGCAGTCAAGAGTTGATTACTGGCAAAGCATCTACCTGCATACTGTCGTTAATCAATTGGGTTAGTGTTTTGTTTTTCGACAGTGAACACATGTCCAAGGAGAGTGAATAGATTTGTAATAACCCAGAACCAACCTTCTTCTTCCCGTATTAGAAGTTGGTGAAAAGCTTTGATATTTTCTATAAATAAAATAAATAAATACGCTAAGTTTGTTTGCATCCAATTCTTACTTCTGATAACTGCATAAACTGACCATTAATGAAATGAGGGACTGATTTCTACTGCTAAATTAATAATCCCAGGATCTGAAATGAGCTTATTTTTGTATTGTGGTGTTTTAAGACACATTATCTTAAGGCCTGAGTCTTCTAGTGAAATATCACCCAAGAAAGGTTGGGTTTTTATTTATAGCCTAGTTCAAACAAATAGCACATGAAATAGTAAACCAGTGTCTGGACTGTACTACTTTAGACTGCAGGTGGAGATTCATGTAATTGAATGCCTCCTTTCCCCCTTCACATAGAAAACTAGATGTCAAAGGAGAAGGGTTGTAGCCTAGCCTTCTCCCTGACACGACTGCCTCCCCACTCTGGGGAGGTGGGGGTATTTCATTTTCAGTTTGAAATGGTTCAGTCCAGAAACAGATTTACCTTATCTACCACTTTCAAAAAACTAGGCCTACATCAAAGCAAAGACCTCTGTTTAGTAAAACATTGGACCCCACCCATGGAAGTAGGCATCGTCACTATGAAATATACATGCAACTATCCCTTGATAAATGACACTGTCTGCATTGCAACGTGTGGGTTATATGATGCATGCCAAAACAAAAACCGAATATATTTAGTGAGAGGTCACGCTCTTGCTGTGGCATTTCTAATGTAGTCAATGTCTATTTGTGTTGCAGGTTGTGCTGGATTTGCTGATAATTCTCCAAGGCCAGAGGCATCAGTCCTGTGCTCAGTTACTTACTTAAGAGTACCACTGGAGTTACCTTTAATTAAAGTGCATGCAACTGATTTCAGGATTGCATCCTAGGTTTTCCTTTTAAACCAAGAGCTATGGTTCTACAGGATTCTCTTGCCTGTAGAAGATAAGGCTATTGTGTGCTACCTCTCAAAAAGCCATAGACCGTTGCAGACATATTTAGACGAAACAGGTAGTTGGGTTTTGAGGTAGAAGGCTCTGCCTACCTGATTCCAGAGCCACTCCTTCAGGCCTGGATTCTGTCATATTATCTCAAGTAGAAAAAGTAGCAGGTATTTGAGAACCGGGGCATACTAGACATTCTTTTTTACAATAAGAGCATCTGGCTGCCCTGCATATATTTACTCGCACAGGGAAGCCTTTACTGCTTCACTGTCTCTCTGTGCAGTTCTTTTCAGTAGCGATTGCTAATCCTTCCATTGCCAACACAACTGTAGACCGTCTGGATCCATAAGTTACAGCATTGTGGCATTCCAAATGTATTTGCTAAAGTACCATCTGATATTCATGTGATTCTTTCCCTTTTTTTTCTTTCTTGCCAAGATTTGGTAATTGTACTTCAACGGGATAGTTAATCCAGACACAAATACTACTTCTCCCTGAATCGACTCCGCTCATACAACGAGAGGATGGTGATGAGATTCTCCATCCTCACCAAGCTCAGTGCAGCCTGGCGAAAGATCCTGAGGAATCCACACCAGCTGTATATGCAGATCTCCCTTCCTAGGTTGGGGCAATCATCTTTGTTCTCAACACCCAAGGAAAATGGGGGGAATATGTTTGAAAGAGAATGCAATTTGTTTTCTTCCTAAGAGAGGAAAAGTGTTGGGGGACGGACGGACCCCAGAAAAACCAAAATACAAAACAAGCAAAAGGCAGGTCTTTAAAGCAACAATCATAGAATAGAAACCACACCTAGACAAACATAAAATTGCTGCCTGTAGATTAGAAAAGAGCACTGGGAGGAACATCAACACTGTCTTTTTCAGTTGCCTTTTTTTATTATTTTTTTCAGTAGTCTGATTTGATATTGCAAACACCTTCACAACATACAAAAAAACCCCAAATTTGTTTTATCCAGAACATATACGGTGACGACAGGGAGTAATCTCCTCTTTTTAAAACCATGTGGGAATTTTAAAATTAAAAAAAAAAAAATCAACAGTAAAACTATGACAACAGCACCTTGACATTGTTTTAATTCCAACGCTACCAGAAGAATTTAAAAGCAGTAAACAGATATAATACTAATAGGAATCAAGATACTTACTGTCTAAAATGTAAACGGAATGTTTTGGTTCATTTTCTTTTTTTTTGAAAGGACAGTTTATCATCAATTCACAATTGAAGCAGCATGCAATTTTATTTTTTTAATTTTTTTAAGTTTTCAATTCTTGGCAACAGCAACAAACCACAATGTTAGAGGAATGTAATGCATTTTTTTTCTCAAAGTTGTGCGCAAATGAATTTATCTCTCTCTCTCTCTCTCTGTCTGTCTTGTTCCTCTTTAGCTCATGGATATGTTCAATAAATAGATTGTGGAACCACTGTACTGTATAAACTTCATTTATACATGCAGTCCATAAAATTATTATTTTTTCTTTCTTACTGAATAATTTACCCTGTTATGTATATATACAAATAGATAAATTTTGTCTCAATATAATCTATACAACACAAATCCACTATCTTCCCCTTTTTATGGTCAGTGTACAAACACAGGAAGTGTCTATTCTTATAAACCGCCATCCAACTCTCTTCTTGTTATCCATAGTGAGAGCTCGCACATAAGACTGGGTAGTTCGGCACTGGGAATTCCAGTACCTCTTGTCTATGCCCCGGCAGCCCTCTTTCGTATAACCCTTGGAGTTGCATTTGGTCTCATAAAAATATTGCTTCAGTTGGCCTTTGGGTACCGGGACTTTTTCCAGGACTGTGACGGTTGCCCCCGACATGTCCACCGCCGTTTTTTTCTCGGCCGCCGTCACCCACTCACTCGTACTGTCACACACACTCAGCTCCCCACGGCGAGCCGGGTCGGAGTGACGCCGGACCCTCATGGACATGTTTGCAGCATCCAAGTAGTTTTTATACTCCTCAAGCAGAAAGAGCAGTGGTGGCTCCAAAGGCACTTGACTGCTTAGCATCACCCGAGATGAGTACAAGTCGGCATCCTTATTTTCCTTGCTGGGCTGGATGACCTGCTGTTCATCCAGGAGCTCCTCTATGACATGTTCAAAAGTGTCCGCCAAGGACGTCAATCCTCTGGAGGCGTCATTGGGCCCGCCGAGGTTCTCCAGGTTTCCCTGTGTCCGGAGACCGGGATAAGCCAAGCTGCCTGGTCCTCTGATGCTCACTTCTTTCATTGGGGCAGCTTTCATGCAACTGAAGTATGAAATAACCATAGTAAGGAAAAGGATGGTCATCACTCTTTTCACTTGGTGGAACTGTGGGCGACAAGAAGAGGGGAAGAAAGATAGAAAAGAAGGAATTCAGAACAAATAGATTAAAGAAGAAACAACCATTTGAGGTGCAAAACAAGCATACATGCCCCTCCACTGCCAAGTTGGAAAGAGTTACGTGTTGACCCTATGTAACTTTTTAACCTCACACAGAGACAATGGGCATGCGTTTATATTCAGTCATCCCAGTCAAGCGACAGAAATCACACCTGGAAAAAGGTTTCCCGCATTTATCTTTTATGTCACAAAGGCATTCACTGAGAGCGTTCACTATGGCAGAAGCCAATGATTGGACTACCCTGCTTGGAACTAGTTAAAGATGTTGGCCTGAAGTCTCAAGAACCCTTGCACAGTAAATGTCACACTCTAGGCATGATAATTAATTATCCTCTATTTGCATGACAAGTGTAACAGCATGCTTGGAAAGGTTACTAAGCATCTGCGGTATGCATGCAGTAACGGGGAAAGATTTCAGAAAGTTATTGTCTTTTGCAGAAAGATCTCAGCACGGAGGTTGGAACTATATGAACAGTAATTGCCTTTAAAAAGACAAAGGGGGGAAAGGATTGTCTCACAGTATCTAAGGCTCCCAAAACTACATTTCAGAAACTGAGGAGCAAATAACCATCTGTCAGCATGGGAGAGCACACACACAAGCCCCAACACACACCAGACTTTTCCTGCAACAAGCTTTGGCTTGCTTGTTTTTGTGTAGCAAAAAAATTGGTCTGTGGAACTCACAGATACCAGGTGCAATTACAACACATATTTTCATGCAGCTGAGGTGGCATTCATAAGTGAAAGTAAAGGTGTATTCAGGGAATACTGAGCAACAAGGGAAGTATTCAGCTATCCCAATTAAAGGTAAGCCAAAATGGGGGTGTGGGGTTGTTCATGAACATTTTTAAAATCCAGCCCAATTACATCCTTGCCTTTTGCTATTTTGTGGCACATGGAGGTGCTTGCTTCCTTGCTTGCATGCTGCTCATCTCTCTGTACTAAACTAGCAGGCAATGAAATTCAGTGAAGCAGAGGTCAAGACCCCTCCTTTGTGCTCTAACTGAGGGCCAGTGAAGCCCCTGCACTGCCCTTGGTCTGTATAACTTGGGGGAGAAGGAAAGGGAATGCGACAGCCCATTACCAAGGCAACAAGGCGGGTGCTCCCTGTCAAGCTGTCCCTCTTCATCACTTTTCCAGTCTGCTCTTGTTTTCTAGCATGTGCTCCCTTGCAGAATATACTATGGTAATTTTTAGAAGGCACTTGTTCAATTTATGCCTGGACATTTTCTTTAGTATATGGCAGTTTAGGTAAAACACTGTTCTGTGGGGAAATTTATCTGGAGCAAGTGTCTGGGAAAGATATACCCCTGGAATTCCTGACTGGACACATCTCCCCAGACCAGTTTTGAAGGGTGAAAAACCAAGGTAAAGTGTGAGTACATGGTGCCTAGCTTGCAAACAAGCAAAAGAAACAATCATGTACAAAGCTTTGCTGCTTACATAGTGTGCAAGTTTAGGAGTATGTCTTTAATTACCCTTTTAGCAGAAATGGTTAAATCTCACCATAAACCAAAGAGTTCAATTATGGAATTTCTTTTCTTTTTTCTTTTTTAAAAAGGGGAGGAATCAATGTACCCTCCATGTTTCTTTTCATAGGGTGGGGGGGACGAGGAAAGCAAAATTGATCCTCATATGGGCCCTTTTCTAAATTATGCCTAGTAATACTGTTGGGGAAAGCAGATCTCCCATCCTCCCTCTCTGTTTTTTTGCTTTATTTTCATGCTGGACCTTGCTATGGATGCTGTTGGCTGCCATATTTGAGGCTGGGCAGGAATTTTTTCATCAGGCAAATTGCCCCACGATTCACGGTGTTTGCCTACCTCATAGCAATCATCACAACTTTGGCAGTTTAGGCATTGGGTAAGCCTTAGTCTTGGCTGGAGGGGAAGCTGTAGCCTCTGCCTGCCCCTCTGAGTAATGGGTACCCCATTAAAGGGATCCAGGAGGAGTTTTGTCTGTCCAAATGCTAAGGCAGGGGCCACAGCACTCCTCAGGACAGCAGGTGGCACTCCTATTTGATGTAAGTCATAGGTCCCCCTCCCCTCCATCTGCTGTTGGGTTGACCCAGGTTTTAGTTCCAGCAGGTGGACCTGGAAGTCCTTGGTAGAACCCAATGCTTAGGCCAGACCTCTGACACCTGTAAGCAATAAATTTGTGGCCTTATTTGATCCCAATACACTGTGTCATGTCTATTGTGTGGATTGAGACGGCGGGTGCTGCGGGACCTTAGCACACAAAAAACAAAAGAAAATGAAAAGATCCTACAAGCTTGACGTTTCCCCACTCTTGAGGAAACATATTTGAATGCTAGATGCAATAGGCAAAAGAATTCATAGAGTGACATCATCACTTTATGAGTAAATGCCATGTCACTATGGAAAAAAAGTTTCCCTTAGTTGGGTAAAACTCCTAAACAAGTTAATGCACTGAATTATGAGGATTGTGGTATGTAGGGATTGCAAGAGCCATTCTAGATCAAGGACACCTGAGGGCAGAATGAGGCATAAACCCTGCTTCTGCTGATTCCCTCAGCTAATTGCATCTATGATATGAGATGGATATTGTAGATATGGTTTTAATTTAAAAATGGTCCCCCATCACATGCACTCAGATGGATTACTGGATGACATGTGTTGTCTTTCAAGTTCCTGAACCCCACTATCAACCCAGAATATAAATGCATGAACTACTGTACTTATTAATGACTGATGAAAATGTTTTCCTCACTTTTCTTTCTTTCCTTTAAAGCAGCCTTTCATGAATTTGTAAGGTCATAAATTTAGTTTTAAGAAGTTCTATTTTTGCTTTCATTTTTAAACCAGGTTATTTTTAAAAAGAAAAACTTATAGCTGAAATCTGAACAAAAGTTACAATCTAATTATTTTTTAAAGATGTGCTTTAAAAAAATCCACTTATTTTTATTTACCCTGATTATCCCACACAGAAGTACGGTAGTCCCCACACAGCTGTAGCTGTGTTGTTAATGTGAGCCTAAGTCACAAAGGAATAAAGAAACTTATCAAGGAGAAACCCACCACAATGGCATTAAAGCTGGTTGCCTTATACAGCTTTGAACAATCTGCTTTCCCACCTTTGCTTTGGTCTTGGAAGACTTATATCCCAACCTAGAGTAGGAAATATCTTTTCCTGGATAATCTTTACTTTTGTGACAGGTTGAGGAACTTTGCAAGTCTCCCTACGAAAAGACACAAAATCCCAGTTTTCTGATTTTACCAAAGTTAGGATCATGACTTTGAGAGAGGGTTTCAAGCACATACTGGAAAATTAGGTCTACACAATTAAATGTCAGCCTAGCACAACAAATCCACTTAAAACAACAACACAGACTCTCTGCAGTTGGGAAAGCAATGGGCAAAATGTATTGAAACGCATAGTGCATAACCACTGCACACATCCAGTTGGATGCTCATTGTTGTATAAACAAATCAGAGTGAATGTTCAATAAAGCTCCGGACATACTCTAACTTCAGGATGAATGATCAACACCTAAGCCATGTGGAGCAGCCTAGTGGGTTACCTTCCTTTCTGAACTTGTTCCACTCTTCTGCCTCCTTTCACAACTTTGTGGCTGACCAATTGCTTCTTTCTAGCAAGCAATCTTTCTAGCATCTTAAAAAGTAGAGACATCACCTTGCCAACAAAGGTCCGTATAGTAAAAGCTATGGTTTTCCAAGTAGTGATGTATGGAAGTGAGAGTTGGACCATAAAGAAGGCTGATCTCCGCAGAATTGATGCTTTCGAATTATGGTGCTGGAGGAGACTCTAGAGAGTCCCATGGACTGCAAGAAGATCAAACCTATCCATTCTTAAGGAAATCAGCCCTGAGTGCTCACTGGAAGGACAGATCCTGAAGCTAAGGCTCCAATACTTTGGCCACCTCATGATAAGAGAAGCCTCCCTGGAAAAGACCCTGATGTTGGGAAAGATGGAGGGCACAAGAAGAAGGGGACGACAAAGCACGAGACGGTTAGACAGTGTTCTCGAAGCTACCAGCATGAGTTTGACCAAACTGCGGGAGGCAGTGGAAGACAGGAGTGCCTGGTATGCTCAGGTCCATGGGGTTACGAAGAGTCAGACACGACTAAACAACAACAAGAAGCAAGCAATAGCATTATTCACGTTTCTTAAGAATCAGCTAATACTCATTTCAGTGCTTTTGATGTTCATGCCGAAGTACCTCATACTTGGCAGTAAGGACTGGAGTAAACACTCTTTTTGTTTGCCAACACAGCGCTATGTATAAAGACTTACTTCACATCCTTATTTTGTGGGAAACAAAGAATCCTAACACTTGTCAGAGGAAAAGCACAACAAAGACGCTTTACGCACTAAGACAGGAATTGCCCAAGTTTTAGGCCCCGATGTTCGTATGAGGAAATGTTATGCTGTTAGGAATTCTGTTGACAATAATCTAAGCTCAACACGTCCTTTGGATACTAGTCATTCTTCCTATTCATATATATCATTGTGGCATCTTTGTATAAATATTAATAGTTTACTCAGTCCCTGCAGGTCATCCCTCACTGAATTGTTTGCTGCATTTATTCTGAAAAATCCTATATATCTGTCATCTGACTTCAAAAAGGTCTTTATAGATTTGTACAAATTGATCTGGTTATTGAGGCAACCAAAGTCAGCTTTTGGCATGTAAATTCCATAAACATGTGGCAAGATGGCAACTGAGCAAAAGTAGGGTGCTTAAAGTTCATTTTCTCTCAGAGCTATTTTCACCACCCACCTACCACCTGGATTTCCATTTTTCCCTTTGTTGACTGAATGCACGTACCAGGGAATTCACATTGGGAGACTGCTGAACTGGTTCTGGAGCCAGGTTCTTGGTGTGGCCTGATGCCATACACTTCTAAATAATGACAGCAGGCAAACATTTATAGCAAAAGGTAACTTCAAAGGGCAGTTCAGAGGCAATGATACAGAGCAGGGATTAAAAGATCTGAGTGTCTCTCATAATAATTTTGATTTATTTATTTCAATTATTAGCCTTGAGTATTATCATACTCAATTATAAGTTACCTTGGTGCTCATATATGACGCTCTTATTTGGGTAACTTATAATACATGAAATTTTCTCTCTTTCTTTAAAAAAAATTATTAAAACATATAAAGTCCACCTCCCTGATAAGTCCTGGGCACAGCTAGCTAACCTGAAGATGTTTTGAAGCATTTCTGAATTGCTTCATGCATGGCTTTTGGGAGGCATCTGGAGAAAAAAAGCTCCACAGCTGTGGGGCAGAAGGGGTGCATGTACACACATGCCATTCAACACTCTCAGGCATGGAGTGGTTCTTTCTCCTCAGAAGTGGACACTGCTGCATTTAAGGCTATGTAGACATGATGTCTCTCACTCTCATCTTGCCTACACTTTGTCTTCCATTGTCTCAGTCCACACCTTGCCTAAGACACTTCAGATACATTTTACCGTCAACTTCAACATCCCTCCATGTGTATGAGTTTACATTGGACATTGAATGCAGTAGGTCAGGCTACTGCCTATGAAAGTTTATGCCACACGTTCCCCACACCATAACTACTCATAGAAGTTATTTTCTATATATTTTTTGTGAGAAAGAACACAGAGAGAGCACATCTTTTTCTACACACAAGACTCAGCAGTGAGCTCATTGTGGAAACTCAGAGGCAAATCACATCAAGTGAGGCAGTCTTGTGGTGTGAGGTCATAATAGAAAAAGGGGTTCTGAAAAATCAGCTCATGTATAAAGAGACATCTCTTAGGCAGCTTAGAGAACTGGGTCACATTTTGAGTCACAAACTTTCTTTGCTCAGTAAATGAGCTTTTGTTTCTTACTTGACATGCACAATTCACATCTTTCTTTAAGGATGTGCTCCTGTTGCAAATATCCCCCTCCCACCTCGCAAAACTGGACAATTTTCTTCCTCTGAAAACATTACTCTCCTTCCAGAAAGTATATTCATTGCTTCTTAAGATGGATCTGTGAGCATATTTTCACATGAGGTGGGAATACAAACCTATACAATTATCGTTTCCAGATGACCACAATAATCTACTCTTTAAGAACCTTTTTCATGTTTGTTAAGGGTGTTGAAATCTGTTAGGGGACCCTCCCCAGAGCTTACAAGTCCAAGTACACCCTCTGATGGATATACAGCTACAGAATTGCGGGGGGGGGGGGAGCCTTATGTGTGGGGCCACATTAAATACCCTTTACCCCTGGCCTAGAAGGCAGGCAAATGAAAACCTCCTCCCCTTTCCCATAAGAAGCAGAGGATGTCAAACTTAATAAATAATAATAAATTTATACCCCACCCATCTGGTTGGGTTTCCCCAGCCACTCTGGGCAGCTTCCAACAAAAGATTAAAAATACATTAAGACATCAGTCATTAAAAACTTCCCTAGACAGGGCTGCCTTCAGATGTCTTCTAAACATCAGATAGTTGCTTATTTCTTTGACATCTGATGGGAGGGCTTTCCACAGGGCGGGTGCCACTACTGAGAAGGCCCTCTGCCTGGTTCCCTGTGACTTGGTTTCCCGCAGTGAGGGAACCACCAGAAGGCCCTCAGCGCTGAACCTCAGTGTCCGGGCAGAACGATTGGAGTGGAGATGTTCCTTCAGGTATACTGGGCCGAGGCCGTTTAGGGTTTTAAAGGTCAGCACCAACACTTTGAATTGTGCTCGGAAATGTACTGGGAGCCAATGTAGGTCTTTCAAGACTGGTGTTATGTGGTCTCGGCGGCCGCTCCCAGTCACCAGTCTATCTGCTGCATTCTGGATTAGTTGTAGTTTCCGGGTCACCTTCAAAGGTAGCCCCACGGAGAGAGCATTGCAGTAGTCCAAGCAGGAGATAACTAGAGCATGCACCATTCTGGCAAGACAGTCCACGAGCAGGTAGGGTCTCAGCCTGCGTACCAGATGGAGCTGGTAGACAGCTGCCCTGGACACAGAACTGACCTGCTCCTCCATGGACAGCTGTGAGTCCAAAATGACTCCCAGGCTGCATACCTGCTCCTTCAGGGACACAGTTGCCCCATTCAGAACCAGGAAGTCCCCCCCTGTAACATTCCGTTTCAACCTACATAGTTCCTGACGCAGACAAACACAGTCATTTGTGGCAGCCTGCTTGGGGCATATGTGTGAAAATAAACCAGTTTCTGCCGACTGCCTTGCAAGACCAGCTCACCCATGAGGCAAGGTGAGGTGATCGCCTCAGGTGGCAGGATCCACAGGGGCAGCAGATCCCAATGTAGCTATTCATTGCCCCCTTGTTCCTGGTGTAAAACTTCACTCAACCTTTCTTCCCCTGAGGCACAATTTTGTGGTTCACCTCAGGTGCCAAAATGTATTGGGCTGGCCCTGCTGTAGCAATGTAAGAAGACCTGGATGGAAGGGGTTGGAAAGGAACCTTTAAGGCTACAAAATATGGTCAGAAGCCCAGAATTGGCCTGGTGCAGGCCTGCAAAAGTCCACCTCTCCCCTTGACTTGACATGTAGTTGCTACTTGCAAAAGCAGCACTTCCCAAGAACTCATCCAGACCTTTTGCCGCCCAGTCAGCATTCTCAGATATGGTAAAATTGCAACATTTGAGACAGAGCTTGGCCATAGATTCTACTGACTATTCACCCTGGAACATACAGTGTTAATAAGAATGAGCATGGCCAGAGTGCCTCTGCCCTATCAATAACTACTCAACAAAGCCCACAAGCCAGGAGCTTAGGTAGGCAGGCCTTTCAAACCAGAAACTGTGGCCTCCAATACAGCCTTGACATATCCAGCTCTCTTGGAAAAGTTTCCACTGTAAAAATATATGTGCATACACAGTTCATTATATTTCTTACCCATCATTCGCTAGCAAATGCACCAAGGTGGGTTGCTAATCCATGCACACCACATGCACATAACACGATAACAACTGAAATAATAGAGGATATATACCAAACGCCTGCACTCTGAATTGGACAGATTGAGATCACTTTGCAATTGTACTAAAAACTGAGTTGCTGTGATGTATGTTTGAGGAAACAAGAAAAATGCCATCCAAAGTTAACCTTTCCACATCTGAATTACCTTTACATCTGAATTACTCTGAAGTTAGTAGCAAAGGATTGCAACTTTCAGAAGAAGTCCGGCACTGAAACTTGCTTACAAATCAATAAACGGTGACATTTACAGTGCAATCCTATGCCTGTCTTCTCAGAACTGATCACCATTGGATTCAGTATGGTTTATCCCCAAGAAAGTGTGTATACTCACTTTCCTGGGAGTAGTAGTGGATGGGGTGAGGAGGCAGCACCGCTCACCTGACCTCCTGTTGGTCACATTGCTGTTGCTTACTGGGAGATAGAGGGGAAGGGGCAAGGTGGCAGTGAAGCTGGAATGGTGGAGCCAATCAGGTTCTCCTGCTGGTGTATTTCCACCATGACAACCTCCCCACCCCTCGCCCCTGCCCTCCTGGTAAGCAACAGCGATGTGATTGACCAGAGTTCAGGTGAGCATGAGTGTTCCACCACACCATCAGCTACTGAGTAAAACTCATTGGACTCAATACAACTTACTTTTGAGAAGGCATCTCTAGGATCACACATGACAATTCTACAATTTATAACATAGAAAAAGATCATAGGAAAGTGGCAATACTATGAACCCCTGCCTGGGTGAATAAGTCCCATTCAACCCAGTGGGGATTATTTCTGAATAAAAATGCACTGAATCAGGTTGGAAAACTGGCAGGTTAATCATAAGTAAACACCACTGAATTTAGTGGGATGCTCAACTTCCCGAGTAAATGCGTACAGGATTCCATAAAACCAGGGAATTAATTTCCTCCTATTATCATGCATGCAGTACTTCAGTGTGCTTGGTGTTATTTAAAGGCGCCTACAAAAGATTCCTGCTTTATGTATCTTTTTATAGGTGTGGGAACAGATACCAAAATGCGCTGCATGTCAGGACATGATTTGCAAAGACTAAACGTACTGAGAGCAAGCAGAGTTAGCAGTCAAATGCATAGGCTGCTGGCAGTTCAGCACACACGTTATCCTTCGGGATATTTATTCATCCAGCTGTATAATTATTTTTTTAATTAATGAAAACAAGAAAAGAAAGAACCACACACAAAAACACATGCTAATGAACTGAGCGCTCCTAAACTGCTAGTGGAAGAAGCAATTGTCTTGGTTGCCCACTTTGGCAGTTTACAGTTTTGCTCAGATAATAAACCATCAAATAAGAAACATCAAACCATTTGACCATGAGTGTGCTTGTCAGTAGAGTTCACAGGATAGTACACGCCTTTCCTTCCCACTTTCTAATGCACGGGATAGAAAGACAATCCATCCCATCACCTCCAAAATCCCCAGAAGATTCCCACCACCTACTTCCACATTCTTGGAATATAGAGAATCATAGAAACATAGAAAGGTAGTGTTGGAAGGGATCCTGAGGGTCACCTAGTGCAATTGCCTGCCATGAAGGCATCTCAACTAAAGCATAGGGCTAAACCACTACTCTGCAAGTACTTACAAAAGATTTTGCTGACTGGCTATTCATGGGATGTTTGCCCTTTGGCCATCTGCCGGAAAGTGAAATGTTTTCTACCATTCTTGATTCTATTACCCCACCCCTGCCTTCCCTCATCCCAATCCCTATAATTTATGGACTCATATTCTGCTTTCCAAAATATAGGTTAAGGAAGACACACACACATATGCTCAAGAAACCACAATGGCCAGTTTTTAGATCTGTTGCTCTCAAACTTGGCTGACCACTAAAAATAACTTTAATAAACTTCCCTCTCCCCACCCCCCATTCAGCACTGGCATCATTATGAAAAACAACGCCCAATTATGAAAATCATGAGCCCTAGGCTAGCTGGCACAGAAATGCCTCTTTAACCAGTAGAGTACAAGGGGAAAATTAGACCACGCCAGTGTTGCTTTTTGACAATTATGTGTCTTGGGCCATGGCCTTCTTTGGCTGTTTGCTAACTGCACTTGACCAAAATGTCCTTGATCTCTCTGTGTGTAGATATGTCCAGGGTGACCCAAACTGCAACTGGATTCAAAGCACACCATGGTAGATGTTCTCAGAGATATGGTTCCTCCAACCATTGCTATCTGTAACACTTCATGCAACAGCTCCGAGAAAGGTACAGTTCATTACTGTGATGGACTTTCCCCATTCCAATATGGATCTGATGCGCCAGTTGAAGTATCTTAATCAGGGGTGGGAAACCTGTGCAAAAATTTCAGATATTGTCGGCCAACTTCCATTAGACCCACCTAGCATGGCCTATGGTCAGGGATGATGGGAATCGTTGCCACAGATTTTACCTCCTTGCCTTAAATGACGATGGGAGACCTCTATGCACATCCCCAGCTTGGTATATTGTTGTTAGTTAAAAAATGGATTAACTCATCTTGTTTGAAAGCATGACAGCGTCCTAGCAGACCTTGAAGGGTTTTGTATCTTCAGGGTGATGGAAACACTAATTAGTAAATATTAACTAGCTTGTACAAACAATGGAAAATAATTGTGCATTTTAAAAAATGCATGTATCACTCACTTTATCATAATCTTATTGTAATTCATACCTTTGATGCAAATGAGGCCTCTTAATTCTACAGAAAAGTTTCCTTTGCAGCTGAGCCCAAGAGAAATCATTTGGGAAAAGCTAGACACATAAAAATGGAATTGTAATTCATATGGGTTTGCTGTCAAAGCTGCTTCCGAGTATTTTCAATCCAATGTTATCCAGTGATAATTATGTTGCAATAATTATAGGAAAAGCCTTACTAAACAATAAAGATGTCAACAAATTGTAAATCATAGTTGTGTAGTGGGAATATTTCAGCATCAACAGAACATTTTATGAAGAAGGCATTATATTTGGGAATAATGTCCAGTTTTGAGCAGGTACCCTAAATCTCAGCGCTGTTTGGAAAGCCTACATCTAGTAATTTTACTAGGTACCTCTTTTGATGGCCCATTCTAGAGCAAGCTACTAGACCTGCACACTGAAGCAGACCAATTTTATAGGCATATTAAGGAACAAAATGCAAATCACAAGCCACATTCTCTGAATTTTGATTGAGTAGATAGTAACACTTGTTACCCAACTGGACAGCAGCCTTGATTTATGATTGATGCCAGTTTTGCATTATGGTTTTGTTTGGAGATTAATAACATGCCTACCACAAACAGGAGCACAATGTACAGACAAAAGTATTCGCAGGAGCCAGTAACACACATGAAGTACTGTGACAAATGAAATCTAAGAAAAAACGAAGTACAAACTGCAGGACAGGGGCTGGGGGCTTCTGGAACCGCTACTTCTCATGAAAGCCCTAAATTAGGGAGCAGGGGTGCCATCTCACCCGAAGGATTGTGGGTGCCCACTGCTGCAACACGGGCATGCAACGTCACATGCACATACCTGCACATAGTACACATGTGGGTCTGACATCGCATGCCCACGTTGCAGCAGCCGGTGGTGGTGGCGTCTCTTGTTCCTCCTGCTATCTGCATCCAGTGAGGCTCCCTTTCCCAAGGGAGGGCCTTGGATGCAGAGGCAGAAAGACTTTGCCTCCACATCCAAGGGTGGAGCTGAACTGCTTCTCTCTCGGAGGCAGCGCCGCTGCTGCCTGCCAGCTTTTTTCATTGGCTTTGTGGGTGCCTGGCCCCCACCATTATATTATTGTGGGTGCCCATGCCCCCCTGGAGTTGGCTCTTATGTATGGGAGCATGTTTTGCCCTGCCCCCAAACTACTGCTCAAGTGCCCATTGTGGTCCTCCTAACTGGAACTCTGGCTATTAACCAGAAGGTTGGTGGTTCAAGTCCACCCAGGGACGGCTGCAGGTAGGATTCCTGCATTGCAGGGGGTTGGACTAGATGACTCTAGGATTCTTCACTTAATTCAAATATTGATAATAGGGAATACCAACTGAAAAACTCTGAGCTAAATCTGAGCCTCTGCGGTGGAACATCTGCTATCCAGTTGCCAAGTCAGACTGAAGAGGGTGTATGTGGAAAGCACATAGCACAGTGATTTGGGGCTTTGCTTGCAGTGCACATCTGGAGGGGAAAGAAAAACAAGCCCCTGCCCCACCTTTCTACACCCCTTTACCCAAAGTGATGCTCTAGCAGAACTAGGCTTGCTGGATCAGAGGATTAAATACCCCCACAAACTACTCCAGTCACAGAGACAGACCATGGCCTTGTTCTCAGGCAATGCTAAACCAAACCCAGAAATCTCCAGTAACTCCTTACCTCAAGGCTCACAGACTGTATTGCTACTGCCACATCCTTTTCATCTCCACCTCCCATAGTAGCAGTATGTTGCTGGGCTTGGCTGCAGAAAGGAGAAGAGTCCAGTCTATTACACCACTAGAATAGGGATGGAAAAGCTGTCAAGGCTGCCGCTCCCAATATCCTGGACCGTTCCAGCCAGGACTGATGGGAGTTTGGAGTTTAGAAGGCCATAGACCTTGGAGGCCACAGGTGCCTCACTTCTCCGCTAGAGCACATTCAACTTGTTTTCAAGCTCTTTCATATTAACAGGGAGTTCTGCCTGATGAGCAAACCAGAGTCAAGACATCTCTGCTACACACCAGATTTGCAGCACAGGGCAATTTCTTTCTAGCCAACCAAAACAGCATATCTGTAGAGCACTACTAGAAAATGCACCCCAGTGCCTTCATAGCAAAGAAAAATCAATGTGGAATGGCACAGAGTCCAGGATACCAGGGGACAGGCACAGTTGTGAACATCTGGTCCACTTTTGAGAGAGGAAGAAATCAAGGGGGACAGGGGCCACTCAGCCTATTCCAAGTACCATACCTAGGAGCAGTCCTGTAGCTCAGGGGTTGAGAATCTGTTTTGCAGGCAAAAGGTCCCAGGTTCAATCCCTGGTGTCTCCAGTGTAGGCTTGGAGAGAACCCTGCCTGAAACCCTGGAGAGCATCTGCCTGCCAGTGTAGACAGTATTGAGCTAGATGGACCAATGGTCTGATAAGGCAGCTTCCTATGTATGTCCCTATACTTACCTCTGCTGATATTCTGACAGTGGGTGGCATTGGTGAAGGTGACAAAGAGTTGGAACCAACACCTTGCTATTAGCCATAGCTGGCCTCGGAATGGAAGAGATTGCAGCAGGCCGTGCTGAACTGGAAATGCCAGTTAACAGCGCTTCAACAGGTATTTGACAACAACAGGTTCTTTTTTTCCTCTCTCTCCATGTTTGAAGGCTTGTATTTGTCAGTCGTGCTGCCAATCATTTCCTGGCTATCCCCGATCTATGCCAAGATCCCTCTCGGCACATGCCCAGTCCAGTCCCTTGCTCAGCATAGCCATTAAAGGATGCTCTCCTTATTTGGGCAAGGGATCCAGCTTGCATTCTGGTTCCATAGTGGGTGGTCTCTGGAAGAAAGTCAGAAGGAAGAGCCGGACATTCCACTACAACCCAAAAGGACAATGTGTATTGACTTGCCATGCTGATCCAGTTAGCCAACAGCCGAGTTCAAGGAAAAGCCTCGCCGCAGTCATTTACGCTGGAGCCCCTGGCAGCAGGGAGATGTTTGCAGCGAGGGCTGCGTTCAGCGCTAATGGATCTGTGTTAATACACTCTCAAACGCTGGGCAGGCAGACCCTAGTGGTTTCCTGCCCCAACTAGTACTTTTTGATCATTCGTTACCATTACAGTCAAATCACGTGCTTTTCTGACAGATCAGCACTAGAAACCTCCGGCCCAGGAACTTCCTTGAAATGAAGAGATTTATTCCACAATTATGAATATTTATGTGCACACACACACACACACACGCAGGCACCACTCTTATTTTAGTAACAAATAGTAGCCTGTGATCAAAACGCTGTGGTTAATAAAAGAACTTCATGCACCAGTCGTATATAATGAGCCCTGCTAAGGAATTCATGCCCCCCAAATGTATATAAATACACCACTACCAAAAAATAATATAAAGTGATTTATACGTTTATCAGATATATAAGTGTATACATACATATGCATTTCTATAAATTATTTATACAAAGCTAAATGGGGCTTTAGGCAAGAGTTTCTCTCTCTCCACAGATAGGAAAGGAGTCAGCCCCCCCCCCCCCCCGCCGGAGAAATTGTTTGAACCTTTCACTCCTAATTTATGTATTTCCAACTTTCCATTTTAAACCATTCGGCAAAAGGAAAAACCTGGTTTGTTTCAGGCTTGTCTTGAGATTTAGGACCTGGTTTTGGTGTCTTCTGACATTCTTTCCATCAAAAGTAATGCCTTGCTGGGGCAAATCCCAGAAAGACAGCACGTGGCAGAAACTTGTCTGATAAAAGTTGGGAAAACCTGAGCTTTGTGACAGATCTCACAGCCAATGCCAGGCAAGTACCTTGCCAACATTAAGAAGAAAATACATAAAACTCATTGTATCATAAATACACCTATAGCTAAAAAATAAAAAAATAAAAATGTTTTTTTTTAAATTGTCCAGTTTGGACAAAGATTCCCCCTGCATGTGAAATTCTGTCTTTGTATATGGAATTTACTGTCATGTTATCATTTTGTTCAGCATAAGGGATGTACGTAACAACCAAAGTCAAAACACACAAAACTATTAGCCTCACAGTGTATATGCAGTGATGGCCAAACTCGGCCCTCCAGCTATTTTGGGACTACAATTCCCATCATCCCTGACCACTGGTCCTGTTAGCTAGGGATGATGGGAGTTGTAGTCCCAAAACAGCTGGAGGGCCAAGTTTGGCCATCACTGATTTAAGGGGACAGCATGTTGCTTGGGTTTATCTTCTTGCTGCAAGCCACGCAAAGGGAGGAATCCAACATTGCACTATTATGGTCATTCTGTCCACGCAAGTAGGAGGAGGGTGGGCAGATCGTGGCTTCAGTGGCCAGTGTCTCCTCCTCTTCCTGCCTCCTCCTCCACCAAGTATGAGCTGGCCATTGAAGTGGCACTGCGCTCAGCTCGCGTTTGGCCTCCTCCACCCCAATTTTGGGGGACATGGGGGGGCCTGCCTCCCCAAATGGGGGGAAGGTCTCAACTCCCAGGAGTTGCCCCACTTGATAGGGCTGATGGCATCTGAAAGGACCACAAGGAGGAGCTGAACCCTCTTCCCACCTGTGCTCCCCAGCAACCAGTTTTCAAGGGGAAAGGAATCCCTGATTTTAAAATTGGAGCAACCACCTCTCAGAAACAAGGTGGGGAAGTATGGAGCTTCACCTACCGATCTATAAATTTAGGCGCTTCAATCATGTAGTACAAAATAAGAAGTTAATTAAGCTTAAGCTTCCATTTCCCTGTGTCCCTGCGTTCATACAGCAGGGACATCTTTTATAACTTCCTTTGCTTTTACAAAAACATTCCCATTGCCCCAATACTCAGACTACAAAACCCAGAGTGCTGATCTCCGTTCCCCATTGATCAGACTGAAGCAGGTAAGCAGCTTTTTGTGACTTACCTATAGTCATGCAGCACCCCAGTGCTGCTGCCGGAAGAGGGCCCCACTCTCTAACCACTACCAGGCACTGCCTCCCCATCTATATATTTTGCAGTTTCCTATGGCAATGCTTAGGCTTCTAACCCAGAAAGAGGCAAGGCTTCTGATTAAAACCTTTGGGGTATTAATTTTTCCCCTCTTAATACATATGCTAGCTCACTCCCATCTGTGTTGTTAATTAGTTCCTGACTGTAGGTTAAATGTAGGGCATGTTGTCACGAGCCTAAGGTGGGGTGGCCAGACCTCCTGCTATTGCCATATGGCTTTTTCTTTTTTAACTCTTCTCTTCCCATCCAAGCTTCTGGTTTTATAGGCACGCAAACAAAATAACAAACCAAAGAACTGAGTATGAGGAGGGGATGTTTGTTCATGTTCATTTGCAATTCTAAGAGGAAACATGCTCTTTGTGGAAGCAGATTTCTCCAGCAGTATTGATTTAAGACCCAGCTTCCCCCTCCCTTGCCTTTCGCCCACTTCCACCGCAGAGCAAAATCATTATTAAAAGCAGGAAATAACTCTCTGCATAGGGAGAAACTACTGCATAAATAGGGTGTTTCCAGGGGTCCTGAAACATGCTTTATGACAGCTGCACTGGCAGCGTGACAAGAACATGAGGGTCACTCTCAATTAGCTTAAAACAGAGAACCAAACTCTCCTCATCACTGAAGCAAACACGAGTGAGAGAAGCAAATTGGGCTGATTAGAGGAAATCCACAAAGTATGTTGCTTTTGGCCACCCTGTAAGTCCTCAAGCCTGTGTGTTAAGAACAATGCACAGGTCACATTCCCTGTGAAATTCCAAGGGATTTTGCCAGGTACCTGCAACTCTCCGAAAAGTAGAGCCTGTTTGGTGAAAACAGCTGTTCAGGGCTTGGCTCCTCTCAGAATTTGGCTCAAAGCCTGGTTGCTTGCAAATAATATTTCATGAAAACAGTCAACAGGTCTTTATCTTCTTAAGAGAAAGTTTAATATTGTGATGGGACAACCTTCCCTGGGAGCAAACGCTTGGGATATCTTTGGAGATCTGTCACATTAGCCATCAGAACGTTGAGAGGGTAACTACTCTGATGGAAGGGAGGTCATATGTGTGCAAAATGAATTGGCTGTCTGGTCTCTGACACTCACTTTACTGATACTATTACTCATTTCGTTTCACCTGCACTGGCTTTCAGCTCATGTCAAGGCTCAATCCTTGGAGTTAACTTAAAGCCCCAGACTGTTTGGGAGCAGACTATCTGGAGACACAATACGATAGCCATCTCCAAATTTTTGAAGTGCTATTCCACTGCTGTTGGAGCAAATTTGTTTTCTGTTGCTCCAATGGACAAGACCTGAACCAAAGGGTTCTAATTACAAGCAAATAACCTATCAAGGATGCTGTAGTGGTGGATTTCCTGCATTGGACAGGAGGTTGGCCTACAGGACCTCCAAGACCCTTTCCAACACCATCTTTCTATGATACCCCCCCACCCCATATTCAACATTAGAGGCTCTGCTATGCTTCCCACCACTTTCAGAAACATGGTTGGTTGAACCTAAGATGCAAGACAGGACCTTTTTCATATTGCCACCCAGAATACAGAGCTCTCTCGCTAGAGAGGTGTATTTGGCTCCTTTTCTTTAAAGCCTCAGACATGCTTCCACCCACCCTTTTTATTCCTGCAAACTTTCTATATGGTTTAATGTTTTTATCTCCCTGGTTGTAAACTTATTTTAGCCTGATCTTTTAATTGTTTCAATACCCTTCAGAAATTTTGTAAGCATGACATTTCTTAATAAATATTTCCCCTGTTCCCATTCCTTTAAATGCTTCTTTGCAGGACCATTTTTACAATCTTTACCTTTTGGCCAGGCTCCTGTTTTTAGCATGTAGCAGATGCAATAAGTTTCACCTGGATGGGGTGATGGAAGAGAGGTTTTCTTTTATATAACAAAATGCTACTTGGGGTATATGTGGGCATCTAGAGAAGGATCAGGAGAGCATGGATGGCTCCAGGCAACCATTGCTATGGGGTTGGAAAGGAAGGAGGGAGGCACCAAAGGAGGAAGAGAAAAGCAGCGTGAAAATGGAAAAAGAAAAGGGAAAATGGAGAGTCCCAGGTTGCATCAGAGTCTGCTTCTTGGAATGGACACCAGAGCAGATACCAAAAAGGCACTGGTCATCCTAGTTTAGAAAGTCCTAAGCATTTTGTCTCCTCTTGATACAAAAGGACTCCATTTTGGGTCACCTGCCTGCTGTTGTTTGTGCCTCTGTTTTGAACTTCTACTTTGCTAGAGGTCTGTGTTGAAATCGTACAGGAAGTCTGTTATCACCTTCTCATATTATTGACTCCGATAAACAAAGAAGGCATATGGGGAGACAGACTTCTTCTGTGCTCCAGAAAACCACAGGTTCAATATTTGAAGTTCCCCAGAATCCATATTTGCACTTCCAACAACCCACTCCTTCCTTGAACTACTTTTGCCTATACAGTTGTACCTTGGAAGCCTTGGCTCCTGAACAAATCGGCTCCCGGACAATTGAAACCCAGAAGTGAGTGTTCCGGTTTTCGAATAATTTTCAGAAGCCAAACATCCAGTGCAGCTTCCGTGGCTTCTGATTGGCTACAGGACACCCCTGCAGCCAATCAGAAGCTGCGCTTTGGTTTTTGAATGGTTCCGGGAGTCAAACGGACTCCCGGAATGCATTCTGTTCGAAAACCAAGGTATCACTGTACTCTTTCCCAGCTCTTGATCATAACATCAAAAGTGGTGAGGCAGGCCCAGCTAGAGTGAGCATGGCATTGGGGCAGTTTAGCAGTCACTGCATATTAATATATGGATAGGCACATAGTCCTAAACATACATAGAACTATGTGAATATTATTGGATGCTGCTGCCGTGTCACAGAGAGTTATATACATCAGTGGCAAGAGTCCAAGATGCAGCTTGGATTTGGCAGTGAGCTCCATCTCTTCGTGTGGTCCTGTTTCCCATGCTGATAATAATTATGTCAATCCAGGGGGTGTGGCCATTTATCCTGTTGGTTCTGCTCGTGGGATTACATGTGTGCAAGTAGTGATGTTCCCACTCAGTTTTTCTCGAAGCCCTAAATATGTGAAGAGCTTGACATAGGCAGGGAGGAGGAGGTGAGGTTGGGAAAGAGAATTCTCGAAAAGCCATTCATATTTTAGATTGTAAGCATTGCTGGTTTTGTATGTGTTTAAAAGTATGTTCTCAAGACTATGGGTGAAGTCCATTATCCTTCAGAACCCCAATGCTGCCCAATAGGAAAGACAGCTGACAGTAGAGAAACACTTGTGGCTTCACATAGAGCGCTTGTCTTTTTCTGTCTTCTATTTTACCTCAGAACAATTAGAGAACTCACACAATGCTCTCAGTGACCCAGAGCAAGTTTCACAATTTTTCAGATCGTGATACTGTCCTGTTACACTTTAGAAAAACCTGTGTATTTAAATGTTTAGTTTTAGCGAGTAGTATTGCTCTTTAAAACATCACACATTTGTTATGTGTGTTTAAACTAGTTGTACAGATTAGTTAGATGTATTCTGTAATACAGTGCAGTATATGGATTTATACTACTTCATATTTGGAGGAGAATGTAAGAAGAAGAAAGACACCAAAATGTGACTCTGTAACCAGCATGAGGGACGTTCTTTCTATTAACTGCACTGGCAAAACACTAAGGTCATGATACGCTGATGTTGATGATGTCACATCATGATGCAAAACCTAACAGAGCAAAAGTGCAGTATCTTTTTTCTACCACTACTATGTCCCTCAGAGGTTGTGCCGCTTTGCAAAATACAAGGGGACACGTCTCTGCCCCCAAGGAACTGGCAGTGCGAATGCGAGAGTACAGGGAAAGATGTGGAGGCAGGGACGCATGTAATCACGGGCTGCAGGAAAACACATGCTGTAGCATAATGGATTATTGCTCCAACTCTCCCATTGTTCCCCACTGTCACTTTGCCAAATGTGAATATACCGGGTCTTCTTTGAACCGTAATTCTGTAACATCCTCCTCCCCCAAAATACAGGGAAATGCAGAGAAGGCTCTCATCCCCACATGCAGGCAAACTCTGCTGGCAAAAATCAGACACTTTTCTCTAAGCACTGTCATTGCTGGCCAAGTTGCAGCAGCATTGGGGAAACCTCTGATCTGTGGGCCTAATTTGACCTGTAAAGCTGTTTCCCCAAGCCAAACCACCTGCACTATACCTGACATCTTATCTGTCGGGGAGTGGGGCAGGTAAAGACTGCTGCCTGCTACTCTGGCTGAGTGGCTAGGGAACAGCTGTGTGACGTTTGTGCTGTGGGTTTGAGTCCAGGGTGCTCTCTCTCCCTTTCATTAACCCTGATATGACATTCTTCCCTGCCAGGCATGCTAACGGCATGTGGGGTCGCTTCCCCCTGGTAGGGCTCAAACTCTTGTCTCCTGCTTCTGCTAGTCCTATGCCCTGTTCAGTGATTCATTAATGGCAGTGGCTGTCAGTGTGTGTTTGTGGCTGCCGTGCGTGTGTGTGTGTGTGTGCGCGCGCGCACGTGCCCCATTCCCTTGGCTGCTTAGCAAAAAAATGAATCTTTCCCTTCCTTAGGTGGGTTTTGAACCTTTTTCCAAGGGGGAGGGGAGGAGCCGTGTATGCTAGTTGTGCAGGTGTCACATTGTATGACCTCTCCCTCCTTCCGTTTGTGTTCCAAAACAGTGGTTGTCATAAAGCACAAAGGGATTAAAAATCTGGACCGGTCACTGCTGGCTGTGCCATTGGGGCTGATATGAGTGGTGTTGCCTTGTGTGTAGTGAGATATATGCCTTAAGCATATTCCTATTGTTAGTTCACTGGCTCCTTCCCTGTGTTGATGTCTTTACTAGCACTGGCCAAGATTGGTGGGCTGTGGTGGCATTCCCAGGGATGGTTGGGGATGTGTTTACCATCTCCTCCTCCCTTTAAATTTCTTACTTGTGAGAATTTCCCTTCCAGGGTTAAGCATTGGATTGGCTGGCCTTTCTGCCAACACAGTGGCACCATAATTCTAGTCCAGAATAATGAAAGTAAAGGATTACTTTCTGACAGTGAAACCTGAAAGGATTTATTTCTGTGAGGGCAATCCTCTCACTTTACCCCCATCCCTCTTGTGGCCACAATCTCCCCAGGGAGCTGTTGGTTTGCAAAATGTTGTGCACATTGATACACTACGTTGCAGTCATAAGGACCAGACAAACAAGAAATCTGGATGTAGAGAGTACAGAACAAAAGTCAGGATGACAAGGCAAGTCATTAGTAACATTTGGGCCAAATTAGAATGCAAAGTGAACTTTCCACTGGGCAGAAGCTCCAGAGAATGCAAAATATTACTGAGAATAAGGTGTGGTGCCTTGAAGTGAGGCATGTATGAACCAACCATAAACACAGTGGGAGCAGCCATTCTTTCACATCCTCGCACGCCTTCCTGCTAAATTGTTTCCTTCCAAATGGATTTTTTTTATTTAAACTGAAAACAAATCCTTTATGAGGTTTTGCATCTTCAGCATCTGATGCACACGTTCAGCATGGAACCAAGCCTTGGTGGCCACCTGTGGCAAGACCCAAGAAATTTAATTTGCAAATAGTACCCTGCTGGCAAAAGCAGAAAGGTAAACATGCACCTAGTTATTGATACTAATCCTTGACATTTGACTATTTTTTTCCACTGAAAAAGGTGGGAAGGAACCAAAACTTGTTTTACTGGGTTGTTTGGATGGGGGGGGGGAGGGGTTGGAGATAGTCTTGTGGTGGTTTGTGATATTGCATTGACACATTGTTCAATATGCTCTTATCTTAAGCATTTGTTTCTTTATGACACAGGTCTAAAGATGTGAACAGGTGCTGGCTCTAAATTACTGGCTGCAAACAAGGAGGTTAGAACTGGAGGGAAATGAACTGTTAATATTAGCTGGAGAGAATAAGTTGATCTGTGAGGTAGCAGTGCTTCCTGCTGAATAGACAATCTGAGAAAAACTGCAGTAAGAAAACAAACCCCCAAGTGGGTATTTCATACCTTCATGTCCCTTCTTTGGTTCCCAGTTTTAGGATGCAAAATTTTGAAATAAAATAAGATAATTGTAGGGTGGCTAAAAAAAAAAGTCCTAGAAACAAACAAAACTTTGAAGTGAAATTCATGAATATATTTTGTTTGCTGCCCTGTTTGTCACTAGAGGCTCAGGTGGCCTCAGTGGCCAGAGTGCCTTCTACCACCTTCAGCTGAAAAGACATTTAGAGTTGTTGCTTGAACTGGGAAAGCCTGACCACTGTTGTCCATATAGGCTGGTAACCTCCAGGCTGGATTACTGCAATATGCTGTGGCGGGGGGGGGGGGGAGGGCTGCCCTTGAGGCTGGTCCAGATGCTGCAGCTAGTGCAAAACGCAGTGGCTTGACTGGGGCAGGATATCACCAGCACATTAGCCTGGCTGTTTAAAGGACTGCACTGGCTGCCAGTTAGCTACTGGGTTATGTTCAAAGCACTGGTTTGGGGGTATTAAGCCCTACTGCACTAGGGACCTGGTTACCTGAACGATTGTGACACTTTATATACCCTTTGGAACCACCCCTGTTGCCATTTCAGCATTTACTGAAGATCTTCCTCTTCCAACAAGTCTTTTAACTGGAGATTTTTCACAGTCTGCATCTGTCTTGGAATTGTTTTTAGTATGTTTTAATTTTATATCTTGTTTGCCACTCCATGCTCCTTTGGGAAGAAGGGTGGGATATAAATAAATAAATGGTAATAAATTGAAATGGTCATTATGACAAATGAATGTATAGGTTCAATGGTACGAATGTAGTTTTAAAAAGTTTTCTGGTCATGGAAAAGGGTAATAGCCAAAAACAAGAGAGCCAGTGCTATCTGCTGTTAGATATGTGCAGTCTGGAAGCAGACCAGCATATCCCTGTCCTTCTTATGACTGTAGGCCTATTTATGAAACCTTTCCAACTACCAATTCCAGATGCAAGAACTCCTTTGGGGTCATGCCCATGTCTTGAACCTACTTTCCATATTAGAAATGTAAGTCAGCAGTATGATCCTGGAAGTAGCTCTCACATCTGAAATAGCTACATGGAATGCTTTCAAATGTATCTATTCATGAGAAAGACACAGATATGCTGTTCTAATTGTGTGCTGCTTGTGGAATCAGTCAATTGCTTCCATACCATCCCCGTTTCCCTACCTTTTCCTCATTCTCCTTGTCTTCTTGAACATAGTTCATTCACTTGTTATCTTGAACATAGCTGGATGAGTGGGAAGTGACTGCCTAACTTTAGGCACCCCTGTGTGAAACAGGTTATCTTGACCCATTTTAGTCTGGCTTCCATTCTGCTTTGGGGACTGAAACTGCTTTGGTTGCTTTAGAACAGTTGCACTGGGAGATAATCAGGGGAAAATGCAACACAGTTGTTTCTCCTGGACCTCTCCAAGGCTTAGAGTACTATTGACATTGTATCCTTCCAGATCACCTGTCTGGGATGATCCAGCTTTTTTGTTGCCTCTTGCCTCCAGTGCTATTAAACATTTTCACAAAACTGCTGCTGGTAGTCATGTGGAGATCTGGAGATCTGCACCTAGATTCTCCTTTTCATCTAGTCCAGGTGAGGCAGTGGACACTCTCAGCAAGTGCCAGGACTTGTAACGAGCTAGATGAGTGCCGATAAACTGGGTCTCAATCCAGCCAACAAAGCTTTAGATGGTTAAGTTTACAGCTGCCCTGAGTGTCTCTTTGAAACAAAGTGTGGAATACAAATGATCTACATAAATAAATACATTTTGGGAAGCTGGCATTCAAACTCTTTGGGATGGAGCTACACTAATCCTAAAGGATCAGGTTGACAGCTTGGGGTTGCTATTGGATCTGAACTTTCAAGTGTCCATTGCACAAAGCACCTTTCACCAAACATCCTTTGGTGTTTCAGCTATTACCCTGCCTGAATAAAAAGGATCTTGTCATAGTTACCTGTGCTCTTGAAGCATTCTGCTAAAATTACGTAGTGTCTAATACTTGAAACATGGCTTTGCCTATGTTTGGAAACTTCTGAATGTAGCTGCCCAGTTATTAACTGGGTCCCCAATTCCAAAGTAATTAAAAGTGCTGGTCTCTTTTTACTTTAAAACAATCTGGAACAAGGATATGTGAAGGTCCTCCTTCTTGCCTGCATAGAAAGATTATCTGCTGAGGCATTCCTCCAAATGCAGCAGTGGATCTGCCACGATTGCTCCTCAACTTCCTCTGAATCCAAGCTTGTTGGAGGGACACCTCTGCCACATCCTAAACCCCTCTAGGAGATTGAATCAGGGGGTTAAGATTGCCCTGGCCTTCCCACTAAAATCAATGAGACAAGTTAGTCCCATGCTATGTTTTTGTTTTATTTGTGTACTGCCTTGTGAGGGTTACACAATGAAAGCTAGAAGTCCACGTAATTAATAAACAGAATGCCGTTTCTGCAAGACCCAAGCATGACAAGCTACCTCTGGATTCAACCCTGTAATTCTCCAGGAATGGAAGATTCTTAGCTCCTCCAAATTTCTGAAAGCTTCTTTAGAACATAAGATCCTGCTGAGCCAAACCTGTGCCCATCTAGTCCGGCATCTTCTTCTTACAATGACCAACCAGAGGCCTGTGGGAAGCCCACAAGCAGGAAGAGAGAACCTAGCAATTCTAAATAATGTATCCACCAGTTATCTGCAGCTTGGCTCTAGCCAATTTAGGAGAGACACAGAACAACACTATGTAGGTTCTACTCAGAAGAAAGGCCCATTAAAGAGGGACTCACTCCCAAGTATATAGATAGGATAGCAACCTTAATAATAGTGATCTACAAGCTACCGTAGTATCTGCACTTCAGCCAATTAAACAGGTTGTGGCTCGCTATTTATATTTTTCTCCGCTGGGTAAAGTCTGGCACCGTGATTCATTTAAGGACTTTCAGAGGCTTAAGTTTGTTAGTTTTGATGTTTTGAATTATTCCATAAAGTTTTTCACATTGTTATGGTTTCTGGCCATCGTGTTGCTTTTGATATTGCTGACTCATATTTTGCAACACCGGGGTTGGTTTGTTTACTCACTATATTTTTGCAAAGACTGAGAGATTTGTTTGGGTTTCATCTGATAACACACACACACACACACACACAGAGAGAGAGAGAGAGAGAGAGAGAGAGAATCACAGATTGCCCTGTCCCAGATGTTTAGCTATGGACTTTTCTGCCTTAGTGCAACATGTTGGACTAGAGGAACTGACCAGCTTTATAGCGATGAGAAACACACCTGATGAAAGTCAATACTGGTATATCTTAAAAAGTTGTCGTTATAACTAATATCACAGATATGGCCAGAGAGAGATCAGGCATTCTTCTGTGGGAAGAGCTGCGGATGTTGTCCCAGATTGGTTGCATTCTCTGAAGCTTCTGGTTTTGAAGAGCTCAGTGGGCAAGTAGTTGCCCAGCCTTGGACAAGTTGTTATTTCTCTGCACCAGCTGTTCTGCCATGGTATGACAGCAGGACATGGGATCATGTGCTAAGCAGCCAGCATTGATGCAAGGGGAGACTTAATCCCTTTGTTGGGCATAATGCACTGGAGTGCAAGTGTAGAAAAGAGAAATTTCCATAACAGACGGGTTGTATCCAATTAGTTCTGCTCTGAGTAAATGTTAGCTGGATACAACTTACAGTGTATGAAATTATGCACAAAATTGGGAAAGTGGATAGAGAAAATGACACTATTCTCTCTCCCCCCCCCCCCATGTGTGCATGGCACAAGATTGATGCTATCCTCATTTATTTCTGTCCCATGCTCAGCAGTAGAGCAACAATAGATGTTGACTATGCTCCATAGGTCTGGGTAAAGAGATGTTATGTTGCTCCACACCACTGTGGAAAGGGGATTTGGAAGGGCATGTTATCCCAAAGACCAAGGGAGTGACCTCAGCCCCTACATGATCTTCGCTGTCATAGGCCCATAACAAAACTAAGGGGCTTTTCGTAGAAGATGGGGCATATCTTCACAGTCTTATCCTATGTTCCTCAAAGGGATGTCACTGCCTCGACTACAGCACACCACAAAAGCTGAGTTTATAAAAGACCCATGGCCTTCAGCTGGTCTGAACTAACTGTAATACAAATACTTAAATTTAACTAGTTTACAGCGTACAGACTGTAAACACGTTCAATGGACTTTGGTTTAATGTTGATCTGCTGCTTATTAAATAAGGGGCAATCCATACATTGTATGCTGGTTTTCCCTGCAAAATTGCAGCCTGTCAAAGCTATTCTTTGTTTACAATTAAAATAAAAAAAATACAAAATGACTATATTATACACAAGTAATGTGTAGCTTGGCCCCAAGGGTGAAAAGTAAAGGGCATGTTATTTTGGTACCCCTTGTGCTAGTGACATACAAAGAGAGTTTGTTCTTGTTTTCCCTAAGCCAGAGCTCTGTTCCTTAAGTTCATATTCAGAACAAAACACTCAGGAGAAAACAGTTCAGTTTTTGGTAAGATGGAGCGTGCCAGTATATAAACCTCTCCTAGAGATGATTAAGAGGTGTTCCATTAAGCTGCAATTTTGCAGGGGAGGGGGCTGAGTGCTCATAACAATTATGTGAAAACAAGTCAATGCAGGTTAGTAATTAACCTATTAAAAGGGATATATCCGCTCACACAGGAGCCTCTGTCACGATGCTCAGCATACTGAGCAAAATTTCCAATGCGGCCATAAATCAAAGGCTGGAAGCAACATCTGTAGATATTAAAGAAGCAGCCACTTAAAACAAGAGTAAGCATTACAGCTCGGGCTAAAGATATCCTCTGCTCAGAGCTCTCGTAGCATCCTGTTGACCTCTTTTCCCAAAGAAAATAGCTTGACCTTATTCTAGATAGCTACAACTCTTGTGAAGTTCAGTTTTCTTCCGTGCTGTACCTTTTGAGTTTACTGAGACTGAAACAGTTGAGTTTACTGAGACTGAAACAAGAAAACCAGTTTTTTGGACTCTGGGTTCAATCAATGAGCAGTTAAGGGAAACAAATGTAGAACACGAGTGTTAAAAACAAATCTTTACTGAAAGTTGTCTTTCTTTCTACCCCTCTCTCTCTTAGGAGTGACAAGCAAGTGTGTATTGTGCAAATGCCTGGTTGAGCCTGGACAAATAAGCAGAACAGGGCAAGCAGCTCATTTATTTCAATTTCAAACTTTGGGGAGACGACTTGTGTCCCCAAATGCAGCCAGTGCCCATTTCCCATGACTTTTAAAAAGTAGTACCACCACAAAGTTATTACCAAACACACATTTAAATAAGCAGGAGGATCTTTTCTCATCTCCTGCCATGGCACACAACCTTATGCCTTCCGTCAAGTGATTTGTAAAAAAATAAAATGCTCGAGACTTTTGGCTTGTTATGCCAACCACAATTTACAGTCTTCGAATGATGACATCCTCCCTGTAGCAAGAAAAATAGGACTCTAACAGAGAGTGCAATTTTTTAAAATGGGTTTTCCAGCTGTGATTCAGTGAAGTTGAACACTAAGTGGCAGTACTACAGAGGGAAAATTGTTCCGTGTTGTTGAATCTCAAAGAAAAGGCCTTTCTTTTTATCTCTTTTCATTAAATAAACAATAGTGAACAGCTCTTTTTCAATTGCCTCATATTGAGAGTTAAGTAGCGATTTTATCTTCAGCCCTGAGTGAGATATACTGGCCTGAACCCAAAGAGTTGTATTTCCTCTGTTCTTTCAGAGCAGGCCCCAATCCTTTTTATCAGAGACAGGCCTAACACTATAGGCAACAAGGCCTAGGGCAGGCACGGTGGGCACCAGGGTGGGCCATTTGCACAGAGGAGGGAATTCAAGCAGGAACAGCTTTTGCCACACATACATGACATGGTGCACCTCCTATGAGGCTGTGTATTGGCTTGAGGGTCAGACAAGGGTTCAAATCCTCTCTTAGTTCTCAAGGGCTACATACACACCATGCATCCAAAGCACAACATCACCCCCCTCTAAAAAGAAGAACCCTGTGAACTATAGCTTGAGAAGCTCACAGGAGTAGAAGGCAGCCATTTCTGAGGGAATTCAAACTGTGCTGCTAGATAGGCTTCCGGTAGTTCCCTGGAGATGAATGAGGAAGGGCCATAGCTCAGTGTAGGGCATCTGCTTTGCCTGGAGATGGTTCCAGGTTCAGTACCAAAGATCTCCAAGCAGGGCTGGTAGATAACCCCTGTCTGAAATCCTGGAGAGCTGCTGCTGCCTGCCAGTGTAAACAGCGCTGCACTGGATGGCCAAATGGCGTGACTCAGCATAAGGCAGTTTCCAGGGTTTCTTCCCTACTTGCTGACACCAGTTTCCATCCCCGATTCCAGATATGGGGAGAGACGATGCAAGTGGCAAAGCCTGCTTTATTCAGAAACTTTCTCTGGACAGCATATAAGAGTTCACAAAGATGGAAACATGAGTGAGCAAGGGATGGTTACTTCCACACTAGCAGTGTACTCCAGAATTAATACCATTTCATTACTCATTTATTGCAGATGATCCAGATGAAATCACTGTGAAACAGTTTCGATCCAGTGTGCATGCATGTTGCACCCTTTGCAGACATCTACATCTGAAATCAATGTGTGAGACCCTTCTGTGTGTCTCTCTCGTTTCTCCCTTGTCTCTCAAGCTATAGCATTTGCAAATTATCAGATGTTCTTCAGCCTTGCCTGGATTAGTTTTCAGTTGGCTTACTCAGAACCAGATGCCAATCCTGACCAGACGCGCTGGGAAACTAGTAGGTAAGATGAAGAATAGAACCAACCGGTATCAATGTACAAGGTGATGGCGATTGTGCCAAGACTGCACAGAATCATTCAGCAGGGATTCTATGGGCATCTGCCAGAAATGCTGATAACTAATGGATAGTTCTCATGTGCAAGAAAGTGGTTGACTGCCTGCAGTGGTTGTGGTGCCTCCAGAAGACAGCCCAAAAGGTGCTCCTGGATCCAGCATTGTCAGTAGAGTGACCCAAGTGACCTTGTTGGGTAGGAAAGCTTTTCACTGTCTTCAGCTGGTTAGGCAACTGCAATTGTTCCTGGACTAGGCCAGCTTGACCTCAGTGGTTCAGGAATTGGAAACCTCAAGACTGGGCTACTGCAGTGCATTCTATATGGGGCTTCCCTTTTGTCTGGTCCAGAAACTGCAGTTAGTGCAGAATGCTCCAGGATGATTGCTGACAGTTTGTCAGGTAGAGTCCATCAGCATAAAGGTAAAAAGGTAAAGGTCCCCTGGACGTTTAAGTCCAGTCAAAGGCAACTATGGGTTTGCGATGCTCATCTCACTTCAGGCCAAGGGAGCAGGCGTTTGTCCACAGACAGCTTTCTGAGTCATGTGGTCAGCATGACTAAACCGCTTATAGCACAATGGGACACCATGACAGAAGCCAGAGTGCATGGAAACACCGTTTACCTTCCCTCCACAGCAGTACCTATTTATCTACTTGCACTGGTGTGCTTTCAAACTGCTAGGTTGGCAGGAGCTGCAACAGAGCAATGGGAGCTCACCCTGTTGCAGGGATTTGAACCGCCGACCTTTTGATCGTCAAGCCCAAGAAGCTCAGTGGTTTAGAGCACAGCAACACCCATGTCCATCAGCATATTACACTTGTGCTCAAAGATCTTCACTTGCTGCCAGTTTGCCATCGGGCCAAGTTCAAGTTGCTGCTACTGGTATATAAAGCCCTTACATGCTTGGGACCAGTTTACTTAAGGGATTGCCGTATGGCAACATCTGTACTTCAGAATTTCCAGTCTCCAAACATGAGGCAGCTGCCACAATTGTATTCCTTTAGATGTCTGCTGAAAACATTTCTGCTTTAGTTACATGTGTTAGTTTTTGTTAGAAGTTTTTCAATTACTTTTACAGTGGTACCTCGGGTTAAGAACTTAATTCATTCCGGAGGTCAGTTCTTAACCTGAAACTGTTCTTAACCTGAAGCACCACTTTAGCTAATGGGGCCTCCTGCTGCTGCTGTGCCGCCGGAGCATGATTTCTGTTCTCATCCTGAAGCAAAGTTCTTAACCCGAGGTACTATTTCTAGGTTAGCGGAGTCTGTAACCTGAAGCGTATGTAACCCAAGGTACCACTGTAATTGTATTTTATTGAAGATATTTGCCACCCTGGGATCCTTTTGGAGGAAGGGCAGAATATAAATTTTTACAGAGAAATGAATAAAATACCATACTGGCCCAAATATAAGTCGCACCTTTAAAATTGATGGGGGGGGGAATACCCAAATATAAGCTGCTCCATTCCTTGCTGCTCCTGGCTGCATACGGGGGGGGGGCATGCTACATTGCCGACAGTCTTTCCCCATCATCGCTCTCTCCCTTCCCAGTCTTGGGGGAGAGGACAGGGACTATGTGCAGGGCGGGCACCGCTTTACCACACTCCTGGTGCTGTCTGCCCCGCACTCCTGGCTGCACACCGTAAGGTCGTGAATATAAGCCCCACTTTAACTTTTCACAGTCGGAATTTGGAGGGAAAGTGAGGCTCATATTTAGGCCAATACGGTGTCATCCTAAGCATATAAAAAGAGGAACAAAAAGGATTTGCTGAACTAACAAATTGAACTGGAATACAAAAAAGGGAGGTATGAGGAGGTCCGGGGAAATAAGTGTAAGGAAGATAGGCTATGGAAAATTAACGTGTTTTTAACTGTTTTATTTTGTATGTTTCTTTTTATTTTTTACTTTTCTGTTATATCTTAAAAACTTTATTCTGTATTTTCCTGTATTTTTTGAAATTTTAATAAATATCATTTAAAAATATATATATATATATAAAGAGGAACAAAGTTAAGAGTCAGAAAGATATTTCAGATTTTTAGGAGCCAACCTCAGTTATTCAGGACATATAAAGGAATTATGTATATATAATTTTAAATTAATAGGAGCGATCCGCAATTTTTTTGCACTCAGGAAAACTAGTGTGTGAGATTCAGTCATAGTAATAGTCCTAAGTTAAAAGTATTGCTGCTTTGAAGTTACATGAATAGATGGCACATGCCTACTGAAATAGTAAGCCTTGTCATTCATGCTGCCAGTCAGTGGCTCAATGAAATTCACTCAATGGGGCAGTATAAACAAGTAATCATCATTATCTTTTTATTTTACTCATGCTACACAGCCTGGACCATTGCCTCCGTGTGTACGTGCATTTATAAATATCACAATGGTTTCAATTCTGAGTATTTTTATCAGTCCATGAATTAAAGATAACACAGGTACTTGCTGTATACTACCAGGATAGATTCTCTGCATACATTAAAACTCAGTTACTAGAAGCATAAATAAGTAATGGTTATTGATCTCAAAACGGTAATAACCTCAAAAAAAAAATGTATAGCAAACAAAGTAATTAAAAAAAAGTACTTTTGGAAAAAGGAAAAACCCTTAACGTTCAAGGCAAGAGGCTAATGGCAATTCTGGGAAAAAAGAATGCACGTGGTTGTAACACATTGCTCTTTTAATCTTATAAAAAATTGAAGAATTAGAGCAATCAATAGCACACAACAAAGCTGCCAAATAGTTCATTCATTGTTTGGACATCTGGAAATAATTACTAGGTAGCATTTTCAAAAGCACCTCATTTAGGTGACTTGTAGCATAAGAAGAATTGTATTTACCTGAAAGTAAGACGCACTGACTTTAACATAAATTAAAGAAAGTTGATGAGGACAGTGACTGCAGCTGCAATCTGCAGCAGTGATGGTTGGTGGGAAGAGAGAAATAAACCCCTTTAAGCATTATGAGACTTACTTCTGGGTAAACATGCACTTAATTGGTGCCCCCCCCACATTCAAATCTCACCTTAGCCACATATTTGTTCAATGGTCTTATGCAGCCTTCTTCAACCTGGTGCCCTCCAGATGTTTTGGACGATGACTCCCAACAGGCTCCAGGCAGCACAGCACAGAGGTGTCACCCCAAACATCTGGAAAGCACCTGGTGGGGGAAGGCTGGCCTTACGCAAGCCACTATTATCAGCTTCAGCAGTACAGTATGGGGATAATAATGATCTACTGGGCAGGGCTGTTGTAAGGATTCTCAAGGCAATGTATATGAAGTGTTTCAAGCACAGTGAAGTGCTATAATGCATTATGAAGTCTTGTTGACACAGCAGCCTAATTCTGCTGCTGCGCCTGTTTGAGATGCAAATACGAATGCTAAGAGAGTTGTGATAATAACTAGGATGGGGTACCTAATCCTCTATGCTACTCAGTGCTATCAAACAGCTTCATGTGTATGTCAGCAAGATCCTAATCAAACTTTCTTGGATCCAAGATGCATTTAAAATAATTCATTCCACATTCAGGACTGGGGTGGCAGGAGCTTAATCTGTGGTCCTCAGTTATGCTTTGTCATGCATGCAATGTTTAACTAACCTATGAATCCCCAGGTTGCAAGTTGAATTTTCAAAATAGTCTAGATCTTGAACAACCAGATTCTCAAATGGCCAAAGCAACACAATCCCTGTTGAAATGGAAAGTGCTTATTCTGTGGGAAAGAGAATGGCAGACCCAAGTTCTGTTACAGTACTAACTAAACTTTCGTGTAGATAAGGTGCATGGAAATGAATGGGATGAACACTTTCAAATAATGGATAGGATTCGAAGTGCCATCTGTATACTGAGCATTTCCAGTCTCTCCCTTTCCACAGCAAGCCCTGGTGTGGATGTGCACACACTATAAGATGCTGCAGAAGTTCAAGGGACCATGGGGTGGGGGGAATCACTGTGTGCACACAAGACTACTTTAGACAGCCATGCGGGTCTCTTTGAATCCTGGTCACTGTGATAAGATTGGGATCACAAATTATTGCAGATCTGATAAAGCAAAGAATGGGAAATGAATATTCTCTGCTCTTGGAATGAGTGGATGAAATGCACAGGTGAGCATTGCAGAAATATATAGAGATTGCTTGCTTTTATTAAGTTGTCTTCCCCCATCCACCGACTGAACGCACAATATAAAAGGAGTTTAATAATTTACGGAAAGCATACACACGCACACACAGACAGACTTCCGTCTAGCAAAGTAGACAAAAAGGACAAATAACTTTATAGCCCTGGAATTCCAGTTATGGTAACCGGCGTGTTTTAAATTCCAGTAAAGGTTACATTTCAACAAGTGTCTCTTTCCGTTCACTTACTGAGCCTTGCTGGCTTGTGTAGATGCATAATTCTGATCTGCAGCCAACAGAGTAACTTCCCGTTACATTCCATTTATAACCTCTGGCAGTGTGTCATACCTAGGCGGTTATGCATCCCCACTGCTGCTGCCACACATCCTAATTCTCTCTACAGCAACAACAACAACGTCAAGTTGCCCAAGTCATAAATAGATCTCTACATACCCTGAAGAATGAGTGAAACTTTTTGTTTCCAGGAGATGACACTCAAGTTAGATTTTGAATCACAGTGATGGAAGGAACTTGAGGCAATGCTAGAGGGAATTACTCCTAATAACATGGCCAGTTTCTTGGGCTGGTGGGGAGATGGACCATGCAGCCACCACTGCACACAGCCAAACCTATGTCACTCATTTCCCAAGCAATTAGCTGCAACAGACTTGCATTCCCTGGAGCAGGTTAAAATCTATGCACCCCAGCATCCTGATCGAAACATCCTGATCCTTGAAACATGGAGGTTCCACTAAGCTATCATAGCTAATGTGTGTAAATAGATGTCTTATCCATAAATTTATCTACCCTGGAATTGACCGTCCAGATATTGTTGGACTCAAAGTCTCTGGTGGGGCTCCAGCAGCCTGTCAGAGTCCAGGGTTGGCTGGTGCCCATTGGGACAAGCAAGGTTGTACGCAGGGAGACCACCACTGGCTGGTGGAGCCAGAGCCAACTAATACTTGTTTGATTCCCATGCTCCTCCCTGCATTACATGGGGCAATGCTGAGACCAAGGTGGAGGAAGGTGACAGGCAGTGGAACCCCTGAAGGTGGACTGAGGATGGTGGGGTAGCACCATATTCGCCCTAAAGAACCACCTGCCATGTGTCCCAGGTAACATGGTCAATGCAGCAGTCCAAATCTAGAAATCCAGAGTTCCCCATCTAAAAGTGCATCCCCATATATGCTCATTCAGAAGTTAAGCCGATTGAGTTTACTACCATGTAAATGTATAATGACTGCAGCCTAGACGTAATTCTCAAACCCGTGTGAAGAACAGCTCCCCCAGATTCACTTTGGTCCCCATGTTCTCCCCGCCCCTCCGTTTAATCCACTAGGAACTGCATTCTTTGCTTGCAAGCTCATTTCTGTACCCACATATTTTGGCAGCTTCCTCCCGTTAATCATTAAGATAAACATTGATCTCCAGTAATTTTCAGAGAGTTCCAAGCAGGAACCCATTTCCCTGGCTTTCCTACATCTCTCACACATACGAGATTGGTCTCCGTCGCTTAGAGCGTTTCTCTGCCTCCTTGCCCAGTTGCCTGCCTTTGCTGTCATCAGGAAGCGTTCCCCGCGTCCTGGCTGCTCTCATCTGGGCAGGAGTGCTCATGCAAAAAAGTTCCTCTAGCACATCATGTTACACAAGGAAATCCCCCTCTGGATGCGAGGCCCCTCCGAGCCAGCGATGTAAGACGCATCGAGCCTGACGCGGATGATCCCACCTCGCCCAGCTGCGTGGAGCAGAAGACCTCCCACTCCCATTCAGAGGTTGGCGGCGGCGGCGGCGCTTTGCTCTGGAATCCCGCCCTCTCCTCTGGGCCTTGAGCCGCTGCGCCTCTCTCTCTCTCTGACCAGCAGAGGGCCCCCTGTCCCATTAAAAACGCACAAAACCACCACCCGAACAAACTCGCTCCACACAACTAGACCACCACAAAAATCCAAGGAGTATCGCAATTGCAGCGCTGCTTGGGTTGTTTTGCTGGTTTGGGGGGGGGGGGACACGCCCCCCCGTCACAAAAACCCACCCTCCCTTCCTACCTTTCTTAAACCCGCAGCTGCAGTCTTAAGAAGGCTCCCCTAAAAGGAGGGGAACCCCTACCTCGCCCACCAGTAATCGCGCGGCAGGCAGGCAGGCAGCCGCCCCCAAAGCCGCTTCCTCCGCTCCGCTGCGCTGCAGCCTCGAGGGGCTCCCTGCCTCTCCACGTACCGTTGGATGGGACCAGCCGGGGGAAGCCCTGCCTGTTTGCCTGGGCTCCAGCGAGTGGGCTCCAGCGGCGCGCCTGCCTCGCTCGCTCTCTCCTGCCGCCCTCGGACACCCACCGCCTCCGTCGGGTGGGCTTTCCGCAGAGGAAAGTGCGCGGCAAGTTGCAGGCAGCGAGCGAGCGAGAACTAAGTGCGCGCGTCGGTGAGCGAGGTCGTGCCACAGCCTGGCCAGAGATGGCCACCCCCGGAGGCAGCGAGGGCGCCAAGTCCCTGCCAGCCGCGAAGCGAGCAGGTGTCTGGTGCTCTGGGGGCAGCACCCGAGAGGGGCACATCGGACAACAAACCTCGCTCGTTTGGGCCACGCTTACCTAGGGCTGCGCTCGCTCTCGGGCTTTACTTCCGAGGAAGCGGACGGGCCCGACGGGCGGGTGGCGCCGCGATCCCCTCGCTCCCAATCCTCCCGCCCGCCCGGCGCTCCATCAGCTTCTTGAAGGGAATCACCCGCCGGGAGGGTCCTGCCGGAGCCCCGGGTCCGCAGCTCCCTAGCCCTCCCCTTCCGACGCCCTCTCGCGTCTCCCGCTTGGCGCCCCTGCTGCTGCCCCTTTCTGGGGCGCCTCTCTCTCCACCCAGCTCGGCTCGAGTCAACTTTTCTCCCCACCCCCGCCCCGTCCCTACCTTGCCGTCCACACAAAGCCTGCTGGGGTCTCCTCCGGAGAGTCACATCGTCTCCCAGCCGTCCAGTCCCTGCAGCCGCCTCCCGCAGCTCCAGAAACACAGGAGGAGGCGAGCAGCTCGAATGTCTCATCAAAGCTTTATGAAGGGTGGGAGGGCAGCGGCGTGGTGGGGAGCCTCTGATCTCCTTCTCTCCCTTCCTCTCCCCCCCCCCCCAGCGGGGCGGAGGGGGGGCTGGCGTAGGAGCCTCTCTCGCACGAGCCCGCCTGCCCCCCCCCCCCGCCCGTGGCTGGCTTCTGCTCACTCAGGAATTATTTAGATCTCCGTTTGGGCTTCGATTGGTCAAGCCGCTTCCAAGCAGGAACGCCGAGGACTGGGGTGCCCGCTTTAAAGGAACCGCGCTGCCTCTCCCACCCCATCCCAAGGCCGGACGGCAAACGCTGTTTGCTCCCTAGAAGGGGAGGGCTCGCCTTCGCCTGCTACAAACTTTTTTGTCCCTGCCTGGGTAGGGTTGGTCGACCAGATCTCTCTAGGGAAGGAAGAGGATCGGGTTGGAATAGGCACCCAGATCGCTTCCCCCACCCCTTATCGCGAAGCAAAGTTGCAAATAACAACTGAAAGCCAGTAACAGCCACGCATATTGCAGAGACTTATGCCTTCCCAGGTTAGTTTGAGCCAGACCCATCCGCAGACTGGTCATGCTCAAGCCTCCCCCCCCCATCACAATGCAATAGGACTACTCCGGAGTAAGCGGATTGGACAGAAGGGCGGTGGGTGCGGAGATGGGTAGAATACCAATAATTTTTTTATTATTATTATTTTCCCCCTTCCAGTGCCTCGCTTTTAATAGCAATTTAAAAACCCAGGGAACTGGGGCTTCCTCTCGAAATGTTACGAAATCCCTTAAAAAGCTGGAAAAGATTGGCTTACTTGTTCGTGCATTAAACAAACCAGATCCATTTAAATATAGCTCCCTCACTGACCTCTCCATAGTCTGCCTATTAAGAATGCAATCAAGATAATAACAAACATTCTTTATTAATGAAGGCTCCGGGTAACGTTACAACTAGTCACTTTCGAAGAGAACACGCAGCGGGCAAACGTGCTCGATCCAGCCAGCCGGCGGATTCTCTCGCAGACAGAACCAGACAGGCAGAAGCAACGCAACCCCAAACTCACCTTTCGCTTAAAAAACAACAACAAAGCCCCGCAAAACTTAATTTATTCTTTTGGTTCAAAAGCGCGCCTCCTTGCAAAAGCCAGCCACCCCAAGTGGGCTCCTGAGGGGCTGCTTTGGGAAGCGAGAGGGAGAAAAGAGACCCCCCCCCGCCACTACTTGCCCAAATTTTGCAACTCGTCCCCTCCCGCGCGCGCAGCTCTTTCCCGTTCATGCCGCCAACACAGATTAAATTATTGCTAGTGGAAATTGCGTGGCGGAGGTTAATAATTGCAACACACGCCCCGCCCCTTCACACACGACTGAGCAGCTTCCTTTGATCTCGGCCCGGACGGAGAGATTGCATTGTTTATCAGCGGCTCGCCTCGGGTCAGCCTAGCGCCGGATCGAAACCTCCCGAGCGCCGCTAGGGTGGGATGTGCGGACGGGAAGCCACGCGCGCCATGCGTGGAGGTCACGTGACGCCCCGCCCGCCTCTCCGAGGGAGACGCCGCTGGCAGCACTAACGAGGAACCGCAATCCCGACGCATGCGAAGGATGCCTCCCATTAGAGGGGGGACGGGGGGAGGAAAAATCGCTGCCAGCCTCCGGTTGCCGCCCCTGGCACGTGCTCGATGATGCTCCCTCGTCACTTGTTTCGCTTTCTCCTTAAAACTCTGGAAGAGGGTTTTCCCTACCTTGCGAAAAGGAGACCTTTATTTGGTTGCGCTGAAGCCGCCCAGAGCGGCCGGGGCAACCCAGTCAGGTGGGCGGGGAACAATTTTTTTTAAAAAAATATCATCATCATCATCAAGCTGAAACACTTATTTTTTTGTAAAGTATTCATGCTTTTTCTTCCTTTCCTAAAAAGGTGTTGCAGTTGTGCCTTTAGCTTGTGCTGCCAAAGATTTTGGTTTCATAACGATCTTGAAATGTGGTCCTCATTGCAGTCCTCTACATGTCCTCTCAGAAATGTCAAGGGGTTCAGGATTGCAGATCAAGGCTCCTAAACCATTTCCCAGGCCCATCGAACAGACAGCGACACAAACATCTGTCTTGGGCTATTTACACACTATACCTTTAAGGTGCAATTTCTAGTCCTACTCAAAGAATTCTGGGTACTGTAGTTTGTTAAGGGGTGCTGGGAATTGTAGCACAGTGATACCTTGGTTTTTGAACTTAATCTGTTCCGGAAGACCGTTCGACTTCCGAAACGTTCAAAAACTGAGGTGCAAAGGGTGGTCTGCAAATTCCATAGAGAAAATTAGGAAAAAAACCTCAGCGTAAGCTGTTTGACTTCCGAGGCACCTTTGTAAACCGAAACATTTGACTTCCGAGACGTTCAAAAACCGAAGTACCACTGTACTGTGAAGGGTTAACTACACCCAGTATGCAGCCTCAGCTGGGACTAGTAAACTAGCGGATAGGCCAAGCAAAGTCAACAGTGCAAGGGTGGCTGGCGGTATTTTGTACAACATCAAATGGTGCTCAGCTGCCTTCAAGTCAAGTTGCGTAGGACCCAAGGCCAGCCAAGGATATTGCAGAGCTTCAAGAGGAGGGAGGAGACACAGGATATTGGAAACGTTTCAGAAAAGAGCAGCCAAAATGGTCAAGGGGTTGGAGCAACTCCTCTACAAAGAAAGGGGGTAACCTCTGGGGTATCTTAATTTAGGGGGGAAAGACAAGCAAGGTGGGGGGGGGGACATTGTAGAGATGAACCCTCTCTCATAATACTAGTGCTTTGGACCAGCCAACAAAGCTGAGTGTTGGAAGATCCAGGACATACAAAAGAAAGTGCTTCCTCACACAGGCACATAGTAAATTTGCTCCCACATGATCTAGTGATAGTTACTAACTTTGGTGGCTTTGAAAGGAAATTGGACAAATTCATGGAGGATAAGGCTACCAGTGTCCACTAGCCAAACTGGCCATGTTCTGTCTCTGCTACTGGAGGCAATATACCTCTGAATATCAGCAGCTGAGAATCACAAGCAGATCCTTACTGGCTTCCCATAGGCATCTGCTTGACCACTGTGAGAGCAGGGTTTTAGTCTAGCTGTGCCCTTGATCTGATCCAGCAGGGCTCTACTATTTTGGTACATGAGGCAGGCAATCACATATGCACCTCTCCCCCTTCCAGGTAGCAAGAATCCATCAAGATGGTGATAAAGAATGAATGAATGAAATATGGAGGAAGGAAATGGCCAATATAACTTAGATTTAATAAGAACAAAAGAGGTAATTCTACAAGCGGCTCTTTTTAGAGGGATCACACTTACAGTGTGATCAAGAATGCATCTCCTTAATATCCTGCCTCTAACTGCACCAGGGAAGTGTTTGATTTCGAAAAAGATCAGGTGCCACAGGTCATGTAAGCTTGCTTTTTTAAAGAAGCAGGGCTTCATTTGCCTTTAAGCAGGTATGTGACAGGCAGAAATGCTTCACCTCTTGAAGCTCTCTGTGGTATCTAGTGTTAAAGAACATGAGACCCTTGCCAAAAAGAAAAGAAAAAGAGACGTGAAAGTCCTAGGCTGTTGAAGTGTGCATGGTAGACTCCATCCACAGTCCTAGATGTGTGCAGGTTTGTAGTGCACACACATCAGTGAGAAAATGGTACCTTCAAGCATGTGCAGAGTACAATTGTTTATATTTTATAAGTTTATGTGATGCAGGGCTAGAGCCTGGCTCAAATCAAACTTCCTTGTTTTGCACTACTCCCCATCCCTCCCCAGTCATCCTCCTAGCAGTGCCAATGGAGGTATGCAGTCATCACTAACTAAAAGAGAGATGTTAATGTGAGGTCTCCAGGATCACAGTTGCCCACTGAGCAGAAATCTTCATGAAAGCGCAATGAGAAGGGTGTCTGGAGGGGCTTAATGGCCAAGTAAGACCAAGTCAAACTTCTCAGGCCTGGGCCGCACTTTCAACCCAAACATGCATTTGGGGGACCCACTTCTTAATTTTTTACCATGTATTTTGCATGGTCGTAGCTGATGTCTGGCCTGACTGGATTCAGCTGTCCAAGATCTTAGACAAGAATCTAACCCAACTCTGTTACCTGAACTTTTATCTCTCTCCCTGCTGAACTAGGAAACTATGTATAAGAGGCAGATCTGGGCTTGATGTTCCCCCAAAATGGGGAGAAGCCATGGCTTAATTTTCCTAGAACCTTAGGGATGTAAGCTGATATCTGCAGCACCTAGCAGAGACTTGTGCAGGCCGGAATCTCCACACCTTGGAAATAAGTTTAAAATTGCCTAATATTTAAACTCCTTCCCCACCTTATGTAATATCTTGCCTGATTTTGGGGAGAACTCAAAAACTTATAGCTATGTTGTGACATGTTGGAGTGTCCCAATAAATATCCAACTGCAACTTTTGGAGTTGTTTCTTTTACTTTTTAAAGGGAGATGCAAAGAGCTGAATGGACTACTGTAATGCACACTGACCTCAGTGGTACGTAATACTAACCCTGGTTAACATGGTTATAAACCATGGTTAAAGCTGAGGGATCTCACAGACAACCATGGCATCTTATGTCACATCATAGTTTCTCTCACTTCCACTTCCACCCCCTTCACCTCTCCACAGCTCCAGTTTGCAACCCTAAAGGCCTTTCCAGCATCCTTACACTGACTGTGCCTCACCATGTTATCAGTGTCGGCAACCTACTTGCTATTAGCTGGATGGATGAATGTAGGGGGCATGGAAAATTCCTCAGCCAGACTTGGCATCTGCCATAGCAGCCCCCTCCCTTTCCCCACTGAGTTAGAAACGAGCCTGAAAAGAGCTTTAACTCCCTTGCATGCAGAGTACTGGACTGGAAATTTGAAGTGTAACCACAGATGCTGAAGGAGGCAATTCTTCCCCAAGCCCTCTCCTCCTTTTCATACATTCTAAAGCTTTCCTCCACACCCCTCTTGAAACATTATTATCTCCCCTGCCCCTCACCTTTCCCCCTTATATGGGTCTAGCCTACATTTCCTACAAACTATATACAGTGGTACCTCGGGTTAAGAACTTAATTCGTTCTGGAGGTCCGTTCTTAACCTGAAACTGTTCTTAACTTGAAGCACCACTTTAGCTAATGGGGCCTCCTGCTGCCGCCGTTGTGCGATTTCTGTTCTCATCCTGAAGCAAAGTTCTTAACCTGAGGTACTATTTCTGGGTTAGCGGAGTCTGTAACCTGAAGCGTCTGTAACCCGAGGTACCACTGAAGTGGAGCTGCTGCTGAGTGCAAATCAAAGTGCTGGCTATTACCTATGAAGTCTTAGATACCCGAATGACCGTCTCCTCTAATGTGAATCTGCCCAGCCTTTAAG